CTGTGACTTGTCTCCGTGGGCGTCCCCTACCCTGAATGCCAGCACAGTGCTGGGCACGACAAACCCCCACTGGCAGAGAGATGAGCCACAGATGGGCCAGCTCAGGTCCCCCCTCCTCTGGGATCTGGCCACAGGGACAAGGATGTGGCAACCCCTGCCTCGGGTATAGCCATGGACACTAGTCTCAGGTGGGAAAGAGGTGGCCAGCCCACAGTGAGAGGGAGGGGGCCTGGAGAGGCTGCTGGGCATCCCACTGGGCACCCTGGTTCCCCTCTACCAGCTCCCAGGACCTCTAGGGTAGGATGCTGGCTCTGCACTGACGACCTCACCTCACTTCCCAACAACCCCTTCCATTTTACACACAGGGTAACTGAGGCACGAAGAGGAGATGCAACCTGCAGCCATACGGCACCTCAGTGGTGGAGTCAGGGTAGGAACCCACATTGTCTGCCTCCGGGGCCAGGGCTCCTGGGCCCTGCCCTCCACGGCTGGCAGCCTACCCCTCGAAGTAGGTCTGGGGCCTTGTTCCAGGCAGAGCAGGCCAAGGGGTCAGCGGGCCAGAGAAAGCCCCGAGAACAACGGGGGTCAAATGAGCAAGACTCATTTCCCTGCCAAGCCCATGCTGGCCCCCCAGGAAGCTCTGAGCAAGAGGGGCAGCTAGGGCTGGCGGGACTGCGGGAGGGCAAGGAGGTGCCTCCCTCCACAGCTGCTGCTCCCCTCTTTGGGGCTCTGTGGACACTTGTCCTTTTAGGTACAAGATTCAGGGAGTCTCTGAAATTCCTGCCACTCCAGTTTCTGGAACCTCTGCCTGGCCAGGCTACAGAGCACAGGGATCAGGGTTCGGGTCTGGAGTCCCAGCCCCGCCGCTACGAACCGCTCCACGCCTCCGCTTCCGAATCTATGACAGGACCGTGAGCACCGCACACCGTAGCCCTAGGGCTGCCGCAACAATGCGATCAAGTCTATGTGTAAATTGCTCTAACAGGCACCCCCACAACATGGCGCAAAGATGGCACGATTATTATCATGCCAAGGATGTGGACATGACCGGAACTCCTTTAGATGCCTGTGAAAATCTGCAGATGCCCGTCAGCTCCCAATCTGTCATTCCTGCTGCTGGCTGTTAGCCACAGACTACCCCAGAGGGAGACCGCATGGGAGCAGAGGCGAAGTGTCGAGCCACAGCTTAGCTTTAAAATGGTGGCTGAGGGTCTGCGGTTTGGGGAAGAAGAACGGGGGCGGGGGAGTGGGCAAAGGAGCTGGGAGGGCACATGGGCTCTGCTTCTGCCTCTGCCATTCACAGACCAGAACACGGGCTCACGTGATTCCCGCACAACCTGAGACAAGCAGGCAGGAATCAAAACCAATTTCTTAGTCGAGAGGAGGCGTGACCAGCAAAAAGGCCACCCCCCTGCCCCAAGGACCCCAGTCTTTGTCTCGGGGGTCGGGAACACACCAGCTCGGGGGAAGGGGTGCAGAGTGGCGCCTGGAGCCCTCTGGACACACCCCACTGAGCGTCCACCTATCCCACGCGTTGCAGCCCGGACCACGAGCCGTAAGGACGGTCCGGCGGCCAGGCTGACTCTCCGCCCCCCTCTTGTGTTCAAAGCCACTGAGCCGGTGGGCTCGCTCCAGTGTGACGGGGCTCCAACCATAAAGGCCACTCCCCCCGCGACCATGAGCTGTAGCCCTTCTAACACTGCCAAGCCCGCGTCATTTCCGAATCCCACTTTTCATGACTCCAGGTTTCCCAAGAGGCCTCCTCTGGGACCCAACTCGTTCCACCTCAGGCTGCAGCTTCAGGGAAAGTGGCTATTTTTAGAAGGGTTTCAGTAAAGCCGGCAGGGGCTCTCTGGGCTGGCACAGCGCGAAGTGTGCTCAGAAAGAAAAAAAAAAAAAGGGAAAGAAAGAAAAAAAAGAGAAAAGCCATTATAAAAAGCAGCTCTAAGAGGAACACGTTTGGGGTTCACAGTTTAAAGAGCTGATTTAAAGGAAATGACTCTCAACTTTGAAGAAACAGCCCTAAATGGGAATGCATAGCTTTAAACACCACTGGAGAAACGACTGGAAAGGCCCTGACAACCAGCCAAGGACTGCAGGGATAGCTTTTTTTTCATGGAGCAGGGGTGAAATAATTATGTTTGAGTCTTGTTTTTATTCTCAAATGCTCAGAATTTGTTCTTAAAGCAAGGTGATGGGTTGACAGAGTCTAAAAAAAAACCTCTGCAGGTATGGGGGGACCTCCACTTCGAGTGCAAGCCTGAAGAATCTCCTGAAGGAATCTGCTGGAACCAGCTCACTGCCTGTCAGCTTCACTCAGCACTGCCAGGCAGAGGAGGACACCTCAATTTAGGGTGGAGTTAAGAAAGGGCACCAGTGGTGCATCACCTTGCCACCCCACTCAGATGGGGAAAAGCTGGCGATGTAAAAAACACACACACAAAAAAAACATAAAACCAAGAAGCCAAAAAAAAAGCCTTCTTGCCACTTTACTTTCATTTCCTTCAGCATTTTATTTATACACATGATGTTTTTCTTGAAAAACAGAAAGGGAACCAAAGGGAAAAACAGAGACCTACAAGGTTAGGGCTCGGTGTTCCGCTGGACAAGTGGCACGACATCAGGCGCTGACAGGAGCGTGGAAACCAAACAAGGGAGCGCCGGAGACAAATTTTCCACAGCCCCGTCCAGCTCTATCCCGCCCGGGGCCTCGAACAGGAAGGGGCCACGGGCTCTGAAGTCACAAGCGCACGTGTGCGTGCAGCCTGATCGAGGGGCACGCGGACAAGGAGAGGGAAGCCGAATCAGAGGGAAAACGCGACGTTCAGTTAGGACGGGCAGGAAGACAGGCAGGGCCAGGCTCTGAACTGCCCTGTCCGGCTCCGGGGAGTCTCTGCAGCCCCAGGACACGCAGAGATGGCCTGGAAAGGAGAGGGGTGGCCATTCCGCTGTCCGGAGCCCCTCCAGACTGGCCGCCCTGCACAGCCCTCCACCAGCCCAGGCAGCCTCTACCAGTGCACCTCTCAACCTGGTCTCAGCCCCGGCCCCTGGTAGCTCTTCCCCACTCTCCCCTGCTCAGCCGCTGGGGCCAGCCTGCCAAAGGGAGAGGGGCGAGGGGAGTGGGCCCGCTCTCCTGGCTCGAGAGCACAATGCAGACCCCTTCCTTTGGGGACTGCTGCCACCGTGTGGCACAAGTTCCCTGATTTCAGGAGTTGATTTCCTGCCTGCTAAGCAGGGACGGAAGGGGAGGATGCACAGCTCCATGCTCGAGGAGCAGGGGCACGTGTAAGAGCCACCAAGCGACAGGCAAACGTTCGAGCAGACCTCCTGCCCTGGTGCCTTCTGGCCAAGCCCAGACAGCATCCCGGCCAGCAGTGTCACGGCGTTTCCATATGGGGGAGGGAGGCTCGTTCCCTCTAGGCACCGGAACCAGGGAGGCAGCTACACCAGCACCTCTGGGCTCCCTCCCGCGACAGCCGACCGGCAAACATTCTCTCTCTGGCCAGAAGCTGGATTTGCTACCTTGACAATGTACGCTCACGGGCTTCTTTGAAAACCTAAACAGAATCTCAAAAGCTGTGAGCGCCACAATCACACACGGGTTCACCACAAGTGCTCAGTGCCCAGACAAGTGTGTGCCCATCAGGCTGAGTGAGCATGGCGCCAGCAGGCAGGACGCCCCAAGGAGCTGGCACGGCGGGGCTGCCCAGCAGGGACTGGCAGGGGCAGGAAGCAAGCGACTCCTTGTTGCGGAGGACCGGCTCCCACATGCTCCGGAGATTCCCTCCCCAGCTCCCTCCCCACCATCTCGCTTCTGAGCCTCCCCAACGAGGAGGTGAGATCAGGGACGGGGACTGTTTCCCGCCTGTGGCCACCCCCGCCCCATGCCGATGGTACCTGGGCTGGAGCAGGTGGATACTGCAGATCGGTGGAGTGAGTAAAGAAAGCATGACTCTGGCCACAGGCTGTGCCCCACGAGGCCCTCACCTGCCTGAGGGGCGGCCAAGAAGCAGCGGAGCACAAGGAGGTCCTGGGGACGGGGCCCAGAGGCCAACATGGGGCACGCCTAACATTGCTTTCCTTTAATACTTATAGAAGAAATACGTAATCATGCTCAAAAGCGGGGGACGCTGAAGATTATAACAAAGACCAGCAACCCTCAGATCACTGCCTCTCCCACTCACCCTGGCTGACCTCTTTGACTTCTTAGCAGTTTCTTCTGGGAATTACCTCCGTAATCATGGGCATCTACTGTTATTTCTTGACCTGTCCATTTTGGACATGATCCACTGACTTCCAGCTACGTTAAAGACTTAGCTTTCTAGCCACACCTCCCCCAACCCCTCCTCACAACAGGGCCCCAACACCACCTGGGGCTATATTCACCTAACTCTGGCCACACTGATACTGCCCACCCTGACAACTTCAGGGATGTCATCTGTCTGGAACAGCTCCCTTTCCACCCGTATCTCTGTTCACGGAACCTAGCCCTCACTTTCCAAACCCTTCTCGGGTTGTGTCGGGCAGCTCCCACTTACATAACCGGCCCATTTTCTCTGGATGCCTCCCGGCTGCCAGCCTGGGGCCGACAGTTCCAGCCTCAGCTGCCTGCACACAAGGCCTGCCCCCCGTGACCCTCCTGAGCCCTCTGTGCCTAACACCTTCTCTGAGCCCGTGCAGCCACAGCTCCACCGCCTAAGATCTGGCAGCTAACAGACACCAGGAGGACCGGGGGAGTGACACTTATGCCTCGTGGAGGGATGCAGAGCCCTGGAGTTCCACTCCGATGAAGGGAAATGGAGCTGATCACAAGCACAGGCATCTTCTAGACCTTGCCTGCCGGCTCACGATCTCACGTGAGGACGTGCTTCAGCGTCTGATGGGTGCCGGGAAATACATACGTGGTGCTAACAATTACGCCTGGCTGCTCACGACACAACCACGACAAGAGGCACAAAGACACTGGTGGAGGCGCGCGTGCTCCGTGGGAGGGGGTTTACCTTGGACATCTGGCTGAAGTCGGCAAAGCCCTCAGCACTACTGAAGGACCCGCTTCCGAAGGGGTCTAAGGTTCCAAAGGGACCTGCAAGTAGCACCAACAGAGGCAGAGTTAGGGCATTCAAGGGACACACCTCCGGGGGCAGAGGGAGGTGCTGCCTCTCGGTGGTCACCGGCCCCCGGCGCGCGACATCCGAGGAGGCAGCATTTGCTTGCCAGGGCTGTGCGTCTGGATACGGTCCCTCAACGTGGCCTCCCTGCCCCCAACCCGCCCTGGCTGGTGGTTGGGGCGGCTTGGCCAGAAGCCTCTCGCCATGACGGCCGCCTCAAGCAGGGCCACAGGGACGGTGCCCCATATCGGTACTTCTAGCCAGCGCTGTTCACAGTCAGCAAACAAGTGACAAGTGCAGAAGCACAGCCAACTGCCCTCCTGGGTCAAGGAGGGAGGTGCAGGTCCGCAGTGACCCACCATCCACATCTTGTATGTGGGGAGGTTGTCTGCGGGTGCAGTTTTCTCCTTTGGTGGGGCAACTTGTCTGCATAACCCATACACCCACCTATGAACCCAAATTCTATCACCAACAAGCACGAGCTGCTAGGCAAGGGCGCAGAAGCAAGTGGGGCCTGTTCCCAAAAGCAAGGGGGAATCCAAACTCTCCCCCCTCCCTTAATGCACAAGCCAAGACCCTCAGTCAAACTTGGATTCTTTTAGGAAAAAGATCTGAAGGTACAAATCAAAGATTTGTACGGAGAAATGAGTAAAGAGTAACCAGGAACACTGGTGTTATTACTGACTGAATTTCTACTGCCGATCTTCCTTTGCAGAAAGATGAGCAGCTAGGGGGAGCTGGCTTTGGCCCAAGTACCTCAGGTGAGGATCTGGGTGCCACTGATTAATGACATAAACTCTGAGGACACACAGCTTTGGAAACGGAAGCAGGAACTGGGTGGGCTCCTTCTACTGGCTGGGGGGAGAGTCAGAAGGAAAATAAGTCATCAGTCTCACCTGATCCTTTTGAGGAGACACTGGAGGATGAAAAAGGATCACTGGATTCAAAGGGGTCGAGCTGAGTGAAAGGAGAGAGGGAAGAGTAAAAAGCAGTTCATTCGTTCACCCAGCCATTCATCCAAGCACAGACTTTCCTGCCATCTGCGTACACTGAATCTGGTGCCGGCCATGAGGAGGAGAAAGTGATTCAAACTAAAATCTGGCGGAGTAAAATCCCAACAGACCAACCCCTCCTGCAGAGCATACCTATAAACTCTGGACAAAATGCAAAAAAATAAGTAAACATAAGCAACCACCTGAAGGCTCAGGAAGTGAGCCAGAGCAGGAAGACTAGACGAGAATTCCAAGTTGGCAGGAGCCAACAGCACAAAGTTGAGTCTTCTGTCTAGACAACTATAACCTGAGGGTTTCGGGAGGCTAGACCTCAACAGAAAACTCACTGTCTTTCTGGCCTGAAGACTAGAGGATGGTAGTCTGGGACAACCACAGTCATGAGAAAGGGACAGGGCCCCAGAAAGGAGAGGCAGAGAATGGGAGTCCAAAATTTCATGATAAGCTCTGCCCAAGACAAGGGCTGACCCCAGCACCATGTGCAGGAGGAGACTGAATGCAGCCTACAGCTAAGGTCACAAGTACGCAACTACAGGTGAGAGAAAGTGAGTTTGCAGTGGAGCCTCACCGAGTCAACTGCCTGCTGAAACAAAACCATCTGGGCTCTTTGGAGGCATATACCAGTATCCAGTCACTGCAACAGAGCACTCACAATACACAGCATACGTTTTGAAATCATTCAACATAACCAGAATCAGAAAAACCGTGGCCAGTTCTCAAGGGAAAAGACAATCAATAGAACCAGTCCCAAGAGGACCCAGATGTTTTGGAATTCTTTGATGAGGATGACTTTAAAGCAGGAGTAACTGTGTTCAATGAAGTAAAGGAAAATAGACTAAAGAGGAATGGTTAGGAGATCTTAGCAGAAAAATAGAAACTATACAAAGAAACAAATGGAAATTCGAAAACTGAAAAAAGTACATCTAGAATAAAAACTTCACTAGGTCAGCTAAACAACAGATGATCGAGAAAAAAGTAAGTAAAGCTAAAGATAGATCAGTAGAAAGTACCCAATCTACAGAAAAAAGAGAACAAAAAGAATGAAGAGAAAACAGAGTCTCAGGGACTTGTGGAGCCATTAGTAAAACCTCTAATATAAAAGTAATTGTAATCCCACAAAGAAAGGAGAGAATAGGGTAGAAAAAGAAAATGTCTAAGGAAGTAATGGCCAAAAACTTGCCAAGTTTGGTAAAAGACCTGATTCACAGATTTAAGAACCCCGGCAAACCCCAAACAACTTAAATACAAAGAAAACCACACACACATATGCTTCACAGTCAAACTGCTGAAAAGCAGAGCTAAAGAGCTAAGGCAGCCAGAGAAAAACAGCACGGTACCTATGGTGGGGGACAACCGCCTGAGAGACTCAGGACTTCTCCTCAAGGACAGGGAGGCCAGAAGGCAGTGGAATAACATCCTAAAAGTGCTGGAAGGAAAAAAAATAATACGAGATCGGGCACAAATACCCTTCAAGAGTGACAACAAAGGGACGCCTGGGTGGCTCAGTTGGTTAAGCATCTGCCTTCGGCTCAGGTCATGATCCCGGGGTCCTGGGATTGAGCCCCGCATCAGGCTCCCTGCTTAGCGGGGAAACTGCTTCTCCCTCTGCTGCTGCTCCACCTGCTTGTGCTCCCTCTCTCTCTCTCCCTCTGACAAATAAACAAACAAATAAAATCTCTATTAAAAAAAAAGGGAATGACAACAAAGTAGACCTGTATTATAAGAAATGCCAAAGAAAGTTCTTCAGGCTTAAGGAAAAGGATCATGAGGGTAAATAAGATCTTGAGAAAGGAATGAGGACATGAGAAATGGCAAATATATGGGTAAAAACAAAGAGACCGCCTTTTTCCCTTTTAACATTTCTTTTAGGGGCGCCTGGGTAGCTCACTCGGTTAAGTGTCTGCCTTCAGCTCAGGTCATGATCCCGGGGTCCTGGGACTGAGCCCCGCATCGGGGTCCCTGCTCCACGGGAAGCCTGCTTCTCCCTCTCCCACTCCCCCTGCTTGTCTTCCCTCTCTCGCTGTGTCTCTGTCAAATAAATAAATAAATCTTAAAAAAAAAATCTCTTTTAGACACATACAATGGATTAAAGCAAGATGGTCTTAGGGAGTTTATGGCATATTTAGATATATTATATTCATATGACAGCTAGAACGTAAGAGAAGACACTGCTGGCTGGGGAGGAGATGGACAAATGGACCCATATGGTTGCAAGTTCTCTACATTTTACATGAAGTGATATAATATTAATTCCAAGTAGCCTATGAAAAGTTAAGGGTGTATACGGTAATCCCTAAAGCAACCTCCAAAAATAATAGAAATAGATAATAGTTAAAAGAAGCCAACAAATACTAGAAAATGGAATTCTAGAAAACATTCAAATAATCTAAAAGGTGGCAGAGAGGGAACAGAGGAACAAAACACAGGGGATAAAAAGCAAGGTAATAATAAAATGGTAGATTTAAATCTAACCGTATCAACAACTGCATTAAATGTTAATGGACTAGACACTCTATTTTGAAGGCCAAGATTTCCAGGCCGGAGAGAAAAGCAGTCCCAACTATATACTCACTATAAAAAACCCTTTGTGTATAAAGACCCAGGCAGACTGAAAGTAAATGGATGAAAAAAAGATATAGCGGGCAAAGAATAAGCATAAGAAGGATGGAGGAAGGCTATTTCAATATGTGATAAAACAGATCTCAAGACAGAGATATCGCCAGAGGAAAAAAGGAAGCTTTTATAATGATAAAAAGGTCACTGCATCAGGCTGATACAAGAAGCACAATGTGTAGGCACCGGAGAGAGCTTCAAAACACATGAAGCAAAACTTGACGGAATTAACAGGGACACAGACAATTCCACAATCACAGACTTTAACATTCCTCTCTCAGCGATGGGTACAGTGGTAGAGCTACAAAACAAGCAAACAAAAACAGTAAGGACACAAACGATCGGAACTATCAGCCACACTGACATAATTGGCATTGATAGAACATGACACCCAGCAACTGCAGACCAACATTCTCATCAACTGTACATGGTATGGACACCAACACGAACCATAATATGGGTATCAATAAATTTAAAAGGACTGCAAACATACAAAATATGTTCTCTAACAACAGATTTAATTAAAAATCAGTATTATAAGATATGTAAAGGAAGGAAAGAATATCTGGAAACAAAACAATACTTTAAATAATCCATGCTTCAACAGAGAAATCACAAGGGAAACTAGAAAATATCTCAAACTAAAGGACAATGAAGATACAACACGTGAAAATGTGTGGAATGCAGCTAAGTAGTGCTTAGGGTGAAATGTGTAGTTTTAAAATATTTATATTAAAAAAGATGGTCTAAAGTCAGTGACCTAAGGTTGAATCTTAAGATGTTAGAAATGGAAGAGCAAGTACTAACCCAAAATAAATAGGAGAAAGAAAATAATAAAAAGCAGAAATCAGTGAAATAGAAGCAAACAGGAGAGGAAATTTACAGAACCAAAAGCTGGTTCATGGACAAGCTCAACAAAATTGATCAACAGAGAGTAAGAACACAGATCACACACATAGACCAGTAGCAGAAACGAAAGGGGTATCCCGCAACAGGTCTATCAACAGAAATGTTACAAATTAATCCTTGCCTTCAAGGAGCTCTGGGTCTAGTGCGACAGACCAACAGGTCCGTGGAGAAGAGGAAAACCAGGGAATCTGAGGGGCGGAGGGAGAGATGCAGCCTGGAACATGAAGGAAGGCTATACACCGCCCTCACTAGACACGAGGATTCTCTGTTCAATCAGAGTCGCTTTTTTGTGCAGTGCACCGGGCCTAACACCATGCGACACACACGGTTTGCTTGATGCTAGGGATGGAGAGGGGCATGTGAATGCCTCACACACTTTCAGTGCTGCCAGGAAGATGGCAGGGCGGCCGTGTGGAGCATGTGATGCTTTCTTTCATTTCAGTTTTGTTGGGAGACGGGGCAGCAGTGGGGGCAGGAGGTAGAACAGAGAAGCCACCCGGTGGGCCTGAGCTGAAGTGACAGGGGCAGGGAAAGGAACAGAGAAAAGAGAGCTAGCTATTCGGGACCCAAGCCATCCTGACATGGGCTCAGTGGCCCACTGAATGTGACAACCTGAGTCACAGGACGAGCCTCACAGGGACAAGCACCGGGCACACACACAGCACCTACGCCTCCCCGGGGTCACTCACCTTTGAGGGTAAGGAAGGGTTTTTCGTGAATGGGTCTGAGGTAAACGGGTCATTCTTTGTCTGTTTCTTAAAGAAGTCGTCAGGCGCAGAGCCACGGAATGGGTCACTTTCTTTGAAAGGATCCCCTCCGAATGGATCTAGAGGGTGTTTTGGAAAGTGAATAAAAACATGCCCCTATGAATAAACAACATTATGCTTCATGGAAGAACCCAAATGTAAAAACACATAGCTGACTGACGCCATTTTATATGAAATTCTACAAAAGGGAAAAACCATAATGACAGAAACCAGTCAGTGGTTGCCAGGCGCCTGGGGGCTGGGGGTAGGAGGCACAAGGGAACCTTCTGGGACAATGGAGGTGTTCTTGATCTCGCACAACTGCACACATTTACCCAAACTTATCTAATTACAGACTTAAAATTGGTGAATTTTGTTGTGTGTAAATTATACCTCCCAACAAAGCTGATTTTAATAATAAAAACATGGATAAATCCAGAGACAGAAAGCAGACTGGTGGTTGCCAGGGGCTGGGGGAGGGGGAAAGGGGCGTGACTGCTCATGGGGATGAGGCTTCCGTTTAGGGGATGAGGCTTCCGTTTAGGGCATGGCAATGTTCTAGAACTACACAGAGGTGGTGTCTGTACTTTATGAATGTACCAAATACCACTGAATTGTCACTTTAAAATGGTGAATTTTGTGTTGTACGATTTTCACCTCAGTAAAAAAATACAGAAGTAGATAAACAGGCAGCATGACCGCACCACCATACCCACGGTGTGCTCAGTCCCCTGGAATGCGGGGTGCAGGCATGGTGAATGGACACAGGGCAAAGCCGCTGTCACCAGCAGGGAACGAGACACTAGGCTTTCGTGCAGTGCAGATGGCCATGCTTCCCGGTACCGCGGCCGCCTCTGGCATGTGTAGACCGAAGCCCCACTGCGGGCAGGCGCTACACGGGGCCCCCTGATGCTACCACAGGACCAAGCTGCCGTGGGCAGGTCTGAAAAATCGCCTGGCCACTGGGAGCTCCTTTTCTAGTTCTGCTTCTCTTCACGCTGTGAGGTCGGCAAGAAGGGGCACCCGTCGGTGAAGGGGAGGGTAATGTCGCTGCCAGGCTTCCTCAGAAACTAAGCTCCCCTGCTGCCCTGTCGTAGGAGGCCTGGCAGACAGGCTGCTTTTCCATTTCCTTCAACTTGAACTAGGAATGGAAAGAGTCTGAGGACGAGTCCACGAAAAAACAAAAAGTCTTTTCAACAAAGGCTTTTACCTGCTGAAGCTGTCTGTTGTTCTGCGAAGGGGTCATTCTGGAATGGGTCACCTAGGTTAGAGGAGAGAGGGACGTTTAGCTCTTATGGCAGAAAAGGACTCTGGCATATCCAAGTTGGAGCGGCCACTGGCCGAGGTGGCTTTTCTTAGTTGGGGTGTTCAAGATGAAATGAGGTATTGTTGGCTGCTCAACATGGGCTGGAGGTGGGGAAAACGTGGAGTGAGCCAGAATTCACTCCTCTCTTTCTCTGCCATGCTTTACGCTTGTATCTCATCTCCCTCTCACCTCCCCCAGGTACGACAACACAGGACCCCAGGGCTGCCCCAGTCCTCAACCCACAGGCAGCCCCGGAGCAATGATGAGCTCCACACATCCAAGCTTCAGGAGCTGCCCGATTCCTCTCTTGGACCTGCGAACCTCCGATCCCACATCTGACACTGGAAAGGCACCCCCACTGCCCTCTCTCCACCCCAGCACTTCGCTCAGGAACATACAGATACCCTTCCTGGAAGGCTTTCAGGCTTCCTGCTCTGAAAAAAAAAAACAGGGAAACCGAGGAAAACTTGTTCGTAGAAGTCTTCCTGGTTATTCTCGACTCATGTGTGGCTCTGGGTAAATGTGTCACATGAAGACCTTAGACTTACATGGGGATCTGTCCTTCACCGGGTAGTTTCATAATCATGACTACATCTGATTGTCTTATTGATCCCACCAGGAGAGCGAGGGAGAATTTACCACCCCTTCTGGAGGCTGGGAACCGAGGTGTGCAGAGGTTAAGGGCGGAGCCAGCTGCCCTTGAATGGGGGCACCTCGCTGGGAGCTGGGAGCTGGGAGCTGAGCTCTTCCACCACACGCCAATGCCTCAGTTCTGTAGTGAACCGGCTGAAGCGAAACACTCAGGTAGCCCAGGAGGCTCCAAGGATTCCCTTCCCCGTCCATTCCAGAAGGTGCCTATCTCGCAACCATTCTAGTCATCAGACAGTTCTAAATGGCACAAAGTAAACAGCCCTCCAACGACGAAGTGGGCACCGGGCGAGATACCTTTGAAGGGATCAGCTCCTTTAAATGGGTCGGATTTGAAGGGGTCTTCAGCCTGGAAAGGATCCGGATGCAATTCTTGGGCATTGTTGCTAAATAACAAGGCTTTATTTTTGAAAGGATCATCCTATAATTTTGTGAAGAGACAGGACAGAAATTTTATTATTTCAAATTTAAAGCAAAGTGCAGAATTCCCTACCTAACTTGCGTATTTCTCCTTCAAGCAGTGGGACCTTACAGAGAACGATTAAAAAATCATCAAAGAAATGTGGACGTTGGTTCATAGTGACGTGTCGACACTAGTTTGTTCGCGGTGACAAATGTTCATTCGCAGGGACAAGGTATTAATGATAGGGGAAGCTGGGTGTGGGGTATGTGGGAACTTTCTGTACTCCCTTTAAGTTTTCCTGTAAGTCCACCACTCTTGCAAACTGAAAGTTTATTTAAAAATTGAGTGGATGCAACCCAAACAAACGTCCGCTGACAGACGAACAGATATACTAGATGTAGTATGTAGAAATATAAGGAAATATTATTGACCCTTGAGGACATTATGCTGAGTGAAACAAGCCAGTCACGAAAAGACAAATGCTGTGTGACAGTGTCACTTTATATGAGGTCCCTAGAGGAGTCAGATTCAGAGACAGAAAGTAGAGCAGTGGGTGCCAGGGGCTGGGGAAGCAGGACGGGGAGTGAGTGTTTAGTGGGTATGAAAATGCTCTGGAGTTTAGTTACACAGTGTGAATATAATGAGGCATGGTTCAGATGGTCAATTCTATGTTATGTGTATTTTCTCACAATTAGAAATTCTGCTTAAAAAAAAAAAATCACTAAGTCAGAAAGCAGTGGTATTTTTGGAAATGTCAAAAAGAAAACCCAACAAGCCACTCAACAACGACAGCATGGGTCTCGTTCAAAAGTGTGGCCTCCCTCGATCATCTTTTTTTCACAGAACGTCTACCTATGTGGGCATTTTTTAAAATGCTCTTTCCACACCAAGAAACATGCAGGCTATTTACATCCTGGGAGGAAATGAGTTGCTTATGCAGTTAGAACTACTAGAGCATATACACTTCGCACTGTGCATGTTTTTTAAAAAGTGCTTATTTCTAGAAACAAACAAGCATGTTTAAACCAGAAGGAAAAAAAAAAAAAAGATTTGCTTTTGAAGAGCACATTTTTATAGTTGAAAATGGCCCAAATGTTGGTGGGGGGGTATAATCTACACAGGAACAATGCACTTCGTTTAGAAACAGTGAGTGTATTTTGGTTAATAAAGACACACCCTCAGTGAAAACATGAAGGTTTCACCGTGATACGAAAAAGCACAACATCCTCACTGAATCTGGCAGATGTGTCGGCACCCGTGGGGCTGGCAAACATCCAATATTCCAAAGCCAAATAATTAAAGAGCTGGGGCTTCCGTAAAAATACAGACAACGGTTACAGGGCAATGACGTCAAAGGAAGATTCCTGACTAGGCTCCTAGCACTCTGGGCTGGCTGACTTTGGGAAGCAGGATGGCTCTCAGAGGCACTGGGCCAATGGGAAAACTTTTCTTACCTGGGAAAGATTATCTGCAGCCTCCAACCACAGGGCTTCCCAAGGTAGGGAAACCAAGTAGGTTCTTAGGCAAGTAAGCACAGATGTCTGCAAGCTCCGCGTCTGGCGGAAGCGTGCGGTTCGTTAAGGGCAGCATGGTGCTTAACACCTGCACAACGCACGCACCCAGCAAGTGTCTGATGGGGCTCGCTGACACAGATAAATACGAGGGAGAAGTCCGAATCTAAAGAAGCTGGGAGGCCAGGATGGAAAATCAACCTCTCACACTGTGCCATGGGGGAAGGAATGTATCTGTTCCAGAAGAATGGAGAGAGATGATGACCTGGACACGGGTTTGCATTAAGAATGACACTTCAGGCTCAGACTGGAAGCTTCTATTTAGTTTTTAATAGCACTGGTTTACAAGTTGGTGGGTTTTTTTTTTTTCTTTTAATGTTTTCGATCACTGCTTGGAAGCCTGCCAAATAAGAGGGGGCGATGGCAGAGAGGAGACTGTGATTCTAGGGGCTCTGGCTGCGAGCCCCCTGACCTGAAAGTCAGGTCTGCAATCTCTTTCTCAGGAGCAGTTATTTGCCTAAGGGAGCAATCGCTCCCTCCCCTTCAAAGGAGAAGCCTATAGAGACCCCAGGAGGATTCATGTATGTAAGGTAACCACCAGTGGTTCTGATTCTATTTCACGGATTCGGAGCAGAAAATGAGATTTCCCCTGGTGCAGAGATGCCATAAACTCCACCATCCACTGACCGCTTGTCAGTGAGAACTGAGCCAGCTGCCACTTGGGAGACCCAAGTACAGCAGACAAGCACCAGGGTGAAAGACAGAGGTAAAATACCTCGAACACAGAGTTCAGGAACTAGTCTTAAGTTCTGCACTTGTTAAGAAATAGATGTGACAACTCTGAAAGGAGTTACTGAGGAGTTCCCTTTAGATGGGGGCTGGGCAGTGGTGTGCTGGTGAACCAGCTCTCTGAGGGGAAAAAAAAAAAAAAAAAGCCCTGATTGGCAGCTTCTGCCAGTTCCCATGGTGTAAATACTCCCACCGTGGCTGAATCCAAGTTACCAAAAGTTCTACAATCAGGTTACAAAATTCCTATTTAATAATCAGCTCTGGAGAGCCAAGAAAATATGGCTCCAGCATGCCAGTGGGGCTGGATGCAACAGACAAGCCAATGATGAGTTCTTGGCGAGGCTTAAGTCCAGTATGATTTATTACCTTCTGTCTACTAGACAGGTTGGTTGGGTGCTGTCTTCAAGGGCAAGAGGCCAGTATTATCATCATCAGATGAAAAACAAGAAATAAATTTGGCTTTAAGAAGCATCAGTCTCTTGGATAAAGTAACATAGTTATGAGCTTAACACTAAAGTTAGTAACTTTAATAGAACTGTCCAGCCTTAGAAAGTTCTAGATGCACCTCTCTGGTTACACTATTCTCAGGGGACTAAACCCCTCACTTTCACCCACCTCAAAGAGAACAAAGAGCTCTGTGAAGCAGTCTCGAAATATTCAAGAGTAAACAAAAAGCCCTCTTCGAGGTATTTATTAAGAAAAGGAAACAAACCAATAATGCTTTAAAAACTGTATTTGTACAACAAGATAAATATAGTTTTTCTTTCAGACACTGGTTGCAAGTTTCTATGTTAACATATCTGACATCGACATTCCAGGATGAGTTGACTATCATGTAAACTTTGCCCTGCTTACAAGATGAATGAAAATAAGGAAAGATTAAAAATTGGGGGGGGGGGGCGCAAGGGGAGGAGGGAAATCACTGGCCACTTGCCAACTGCCACTTTGCTGCCAACTTTTTATCCAAGGAAACCGATCTTATTCAAACCTGCAAAAGAGTTTGAGAGTGAGCTGTTTCGTGAACGAAGATGAAACAGGACAAGCCCAAAGCTGTGCAAGGGGACCAACGCCAGATGGGGAAAGTGAAAGCAGGGCCTCGAAGCTGAAATGCACACACAGAGACGGGACAGCCGGACAGTCAAGCGGGCAATTCTGCCTCAAGCACTTAACGACGAGTGGATGTTGTTCCATAGTCTAAATTCAGACAATGAAGCTGAATTTGGGCCCCAGGGCGGATATGGAATTCACCCGTTTACAATTCCATGACAAAAAGGAGTCTGTGAATAGCAGAGGGAAGCAGGAAGGGCCAGAGACAGGAGACAGAGGAGCGCATCAACAGCATCTTCTAGGTGACTCAGGGAAGGAGGCGTAAGCTTCCCCATAAATTCCTGGGACTGAGTACTCAGCTACTGAGGAAAGAAACACATCAAAAAATGAAAATGAAGAGCTAAGTCTCTAGTTGAGAGAGAGAGAAGCCGTATTATTACAGGAAGGAAAAGGAATCTGCGAAGCCAACAGGGCCAGGTGCAGAAGGAGGGCTCAGAGGATGAGTCCTGGATGAGGGGGCAGCAGTGTGGGGCGAGCAGTGAAAGGCTTCAGAAGCACAGCACAACCAAATCATCAAGACCAACCGCGTCCCACTGGCTCCCTCAGGAGCACAAAGATGCTCTCATCAGCCAGACTAGAGTGGAAACGCTGGGGCTTGGGACCAGGAACAAGGGGACCTGACAGGAACAAGGGGACCTGACAATCTGAGGAAAAAGTAATACTGGCTGGATGTGAGCAGCCCAAGAGTCCACAGAAACCTAAGAGGCCAACAGCCCCTTGGGCCTTGATCAGGACCCCTAGGGTCATAAAGTGCCGAGGTTTTCAGTGTAACCAAAATTGCAACAGAGAGGCCAGTTCACAGGTCAAACAGCAATGCCTCGAAAGGGCTGTCACTTTTCTTGATCTTTAGCAATTCATTCGATTTTCAAGGTGCTCCTTGTGGGAACACAGACACACGCGTGCGCGTGCACACACACACACACACACTCCCCTGGTCCCCCCAACTAGCAGGATATAAGGTTTCACAATGTATGAGAGCTTGATTCAGTTTTGGTTACATTTGGGAAACCCTCCAAACGTGGGTGGTCGGCCCACTAAAGATGGTCTTTTATTAAACACTGGTTTACAAAGGATTCAGACCTATCCTTCGCTTTGTCCCGGAAGCAAGGCCGGAGCACAGCCATGTACGCTGGGCCGCAGGGCCTGTGGGGACATGCAGAGCGGCAGTGGACACAAGCAACACCCTGCATTTGGACAGAACCAAGGCTGGCAAGCGCTGGATCCCGCAGGCAGGGCATTCTCTGATCTCAACGTGGGACCTAATCCCAGGGCTGGAATATGTTTATTCGGCCTTTACCATGGCTCCAAAACCGCCCCTCTCTGTCAGGGAGACCCCCTCGCTCAGGTCGGCTAAGTTGGTCAGGCTGGCGCCGTGGGCCCCGTCGAGTGCCTCGTCGTACTGCTCCAGGGTCCTGTGGGCTTCCTGGTGGCTCTCGCACAGCTCGGAAAGCTTGCTTCGTGCCTACACAACAAAGATGGCCACTAGCACACGGGGTTTAGGGGAAAAGTGTCAGGAGAGACTTTTTTTTCTCCTAATGCCCAACCCCGAGTGACAGATAGGCAACTGAATTACTAGCTTACAGAGTTTACAAGAAGCAAGACCACTTGTAAACCAGAATGAGGTCCTTCCCGCCGCCCCATGAGGCCTCTCTGTATCCCCAGCCCCTGAGGGAGGCCCGTGTTCAAACAGACGTTTGTCAATTCTGAACAAACTGAAACTGGTAAAATTAAGATTCACAATCTGTTCCAAGCGATTATCAACATTTTCCTTTATGGAGTTTTTATCACCCCGTTTGCGTTAATAAGCAGCAGCGAACTTCACTGTTATTACTAACACACACTCATGTCTTGGTTCCTATCTACCTGTACAAACTCTTACTGCTTGGAGGTAAAAGGTCTTAAGATAATACTACATCTATTCATTAAGAATGAAACAATATAGGGTATTAAACCCCTGGCACGTTTGTGATCAACTTTTGTCTGTAACCTGGCAAAAAGAGCGAGAGGTGGAGCCAGTCAGGAAAGGAAGCACGACTAGCCATTTTGACATTGCCAAGGGAGAGAGCATCACCCCCACTCCGTAGATGGGACACACAGGGGCCATTATGTACAGGGGAGGAGAGGAGCCCTCCCTCTGCTGGTGAGCCGCCACTGCAGGCCTCAGAGCCCTCACACAGGCGTGGGAAAAGGACGGGGTGCCCAGACAGCTTGAAGAACTTGAAGAAGCATGGGGTGATGCTGGTCATAGGGTGGGGCCTCCTCCATGTGTCAGTCCGCAAACTGCATGGGGATGGAGAGGTGCTGGAACCAGTCTCAGACTCTGTCCCTCTCGCTTGTCTAAGAACCACGCTGGTGAGGGCATTTCTATGCCCAAGACCCTCTCCATAGGAGCTCTTCAAGTCCTCACACAGACCCTGCCCATTCCCCCAAAATGGCATGCACTCAGGTGGGGAAGTGGAAGGCAAAGCAAACTGCCACCGGGCCAAAGCACAACGCCCACACACACACTGGAGGGCTCTGGGAGCTCACCCTCCAGGCCAGGGTGGCAGCCTCTCAGAAGAGAGCCTAACGTAAATGAGGTGGGTGACAGCAAAGGAAACAAGCGGCCTCGGTGCAGGTGCAGACCAACACAGGCTGGTCATATACAGCACTGTGACCGGTCACCACAGCTACTCCACGTGCCAGAAGACCCCAGAAGGCCCCGCCACCGCCAGCAGAGGCGGGGGCCCATCCTCAGCAAGGTACCTGGTTGATTTCGTCTTGCGTCGATTTCAGGGACTTGATGATGGTTTCCAGTTGAACTTTCCCAGCCTGAATGCTCTGCTCCAGCTGGGTTTCTTCCTGCTGCAATCGGTTCAGCTCCGACTTGGCCCGGTTCAGGTCATCTTCCTGGGACTTGAGATCAGATTCCTGAGACTGGATTTGGGTCTTCAATGAGGAAATCTGAAATGAGATGAAATATGATTGAGGGAGAATTCTTTTTTTTTTTTTTTTTTTTTAAGATTCTACATGTTTGAGAGCGAGAGCATCTACGCAAGTGGCAGGAGGAACAGAGAGAGAGGGACAAGCAGACTCCACGCTGAGTGCAGAGCCCGATGTGGGGCTTGATGTCACAACCTGAGCCTAAACCAAGAGCTGGACACTCAACCGACTGAGCCACCCAGGCACCCCAAGGTAGAATTCTTAATTCACGTTGATGGAAGGAGCTAGTCCAGTGAGGCAGACACCAGCCCGATGGCCAGACGCCTGGCCTCCTTCCAGGGCCCTCCCTCCACTCGCATGACAGAGAGAAACAACAAGGCAGACATGCTCACGCCCATGTAACTGGCAGAAAGTCAGTTTGGGATAAGGAAGAATGAGACCTGGGATAAGCATAGGCAATCTGTCCCCCAGGGGCTAAAGATCCCCGAATGAGGCCGCAGAGGAGGACACAAGGCTTTACAGTCTGCTGAGGCTGCAGCCCCTCTGGCTTGTAATGAGCAGTGAAGACAGCAGAGCGGGAGAGGGGCGTGCGGGCCCCCCTGTGCGGTGAGGTACGGGCCAGGGTGAGGTGTCCACACACACAGGTTAGCAGGGACCAGAGGCCGTTCCCCGTATGGCTGGGTGGGTGAGACTGAAGTCAGGCCACAAATGCTTGGTGGCTTTTTCAAGGGGTACGTCTCTATTAATCCAGGAGGAGGTCTCAGCCCTGTGCTTCAAGGGCACTGTGAGTTCAAAGCAGCCTGCAGGAAGCCCCCCTGCAGTGCTGGGTGTGAGACTCACCATCTGAGTCTCGTCCTGGCACTTCTGCCTCACGTCGCTCAGCATGTCTCGGAGCTTGGCCTTCTGCTGATCCATTTCGTCAAGGCGGTCTTGGGCGTCCTGTTTCTGAGCTTCTAGCTCTTGCAAACTGCTTGTTTCCCGGTCTAAATCATTTTGTAATTCCTAGGAAGAGTCACATCACATTACTTGAGACGGATGAGAATGGGGAATATCCCGGTAACAGGGTCTCAGCCTGGGCTGGAGCCCCCAGGACGTCCTACAAAACCGCCTGTGCCCCCAGTCTGCACTTGGCAGGCATCCGGTGCACACCTGCTGTAAATGCGTGCATCCTGGCTTGGCAGCTGTGGATTGAGCTCTCACTAAGCGTCCCGGCAAATACTTACTGACGGCCTAAGAGAGGCCAGGGGCCAGGAGAGTGGCTGGGTCCCAGCAAGAAGAGCTGTCCAGTGACATGTGATCAGGGGTGGAGAGAGGAGAGGCATCACCCAAACATAAATAAACTGGGAGGAATGGAACCAACAGAATGCATGAGTTGGGTGGACTTGGGAGCCCGGGGAGACCGGACTGATGCTGCACAGATGGAGGGGACCCCCACGGAAGCACTACTTAGGGTGGACCCGAAGGACAAGCAGGCAGCAGTCACGTGAAGAGCCAGGAGGAAAGGAGCCCAGCAGGTGGGGGGACAGCAGGGGGCCCAAGGTGGGGAAGGGGGGGTTGGGCTCCAACTTGAGCCAAAGGAAGCAGGGCCACACCAATGAGACTGCACGTGCTTCTGGGGCAGGACATTCAAGTATGGGCTTGGGACATGACACTTCTCCACTGCTAATGCTCCTCCAAATTGGCAGTATCTATAAAGATGACCTAGCAGGGACCCTCAGACCCGACTACGACACCTCTAGGAGAAGCATCTTAGAGGTGCACGACACATGTGACCACATGTAGTGTGTGAGCGCAAAACCTGTAAACAATGTAAATTTCCACCAGGCGGGCCTGGCTAACAACTGCGGGGTACAGTCTTACCCTAAGAGAAGCTGCACCTCATACTCTGAGTTACAATGTGAAGCAAACAAGGCACGTGGCAGAGCACATGTGTACTTCGCATTCTGGCATTTGTGCAAACAGGAAGGAGAGAATATGCACAAATCTCTCTCCTTAAACATGCACGTGACCTTCCTGGAAGGCCTCATGGGAGCCAATGAACTGCATCTCTGAGGGGGTGAAGGGGAGGGCAGGAAGCTTCACGCCTTTTGATTTTCAACCAGGCAAATATCTTATCAAATGTCTTATAACTAAAGCTAGAATCACGGATGGGTGCGGCAGAGGAGATGGAGGCCTGGGAGGGCTGACGAAGGGAGCAGGGAGGGGACCCAGAACTAGGTGAGACGGTGGCCATGGGAACCAAAGTAAGGGAAAGATTTGAGGGGACCTTGAGGGTACAGGAAGACAGGGACGGTGAGGCCGATCCCCAGGGCTGGCCTGGGCTATGGGTTGCTGGCGCCATTTTAGGAAAAAATCCAAAGCAGTCACAACGTCTCCTCTCTGCCTTGAGGATAAAAATGTCATGGCTCTCTCCTCTCTGGATAGCTCCCCAGGCTCCCTGCCCCTGACCTTTAATTCAGGAAGCAGATCATCAGTCTGACAAGTTTGGGGAAGAGAAGAGACTGGTGGTAGGGAGTCTAGGACATGGGTCTGCCACATCTGAGGGAAGAACAGTGATGGAGGAGGAGGAGATGAAGCAGGGAGGAGGGTCAGGCCCAGTGTGGTAGCCTGGGACACCAGGTGGCCAAGAGTCTGGGACATCAAGGAATCTGAGCCTCATTCTATAAAGAAGACGGAGGAATCGAAGAGCCCCACGGGGACAAAGACCCACCAGCTCATGGGTAGGATGGGAGCTGGGTCAGAATGGGGGAGGTGTCTAAGCAAAGAGAACACAGAAATAACCCAGACAACCTACAAACTCAGTTCAAACCCCCCCGGAATCCCCTGCTGGCTTCTGTGCAGAAACTGACAAGCTGATGCCAAAATTCATTAAGGAAATGCAAGGGACTCGAATAGCCAAAACAATCTTGAAAAAGAAGAAACAAAGTGGCAGGACTCATATTTTTCAATTTCAAAATTTACAACAGACATACCTCAGATACATCGTGGGTTTGGTTCCAAATCACTACAATAAGCAAATATTGCGATAAAGCAAGTCAAATGAATTTTTTAGTTTCCCAGTGCATATGAAAGTATGTTTATACTATACTGCAATCTATTAAGTATACAATAGCATTATGTCTAAAAATAAATGTACACACCTTAAATAATACTTTATTGCTAAAAATTGCTAACCACCATCTGAGCTTTCAGGGGGTCATAGTCTCTGATCACAGATCACCGTAACATATATAACAAAAACGAAAAAGTCTGAAAGATTGCAAAAACACCAAAATGGGACATAGAGACACAAAGTGAGCAAATGCTACTGGGAAAATGGTGCTGATAAATTTACTTGACACAAGGTTGCCACAAACCTTCAATTTGTAAAACAAAAACAAAAAACCACACAGTATCCGCAAAGCACAATCAAGTGAAGCACAATAAAATGAGGTATGCCTCTAAGAAGCTACAGTCATCAAGACAGTGTGGTACTGACATAAAGAGAAATGCAGGTAGATCAATGGGACAGAATTCAGAGTCCAGACATAAAGCCACACATCGATGGCCAAGTGATATCCAACAGGGGTGCCAAGACCATTCAATGGAGAAAGAACAGTTTCTTCAACAAATGGTGCTGGGACAACTAGATCTCCACATGCAAAAGAATGAAGTCAGACCCTTACCTCACACCATATGCAAAAATTACTGAAAGCAGATCAAAGATCTAAATGTAAGAGCTAAAACAATAAAATCTTAGAAGAAAACATGGGGTAAATCTTTGTGACCCTGAATTAGGCAATGAGTTCTTAGATATGACACCAAAGGCAAGAGCAGGGGGAAAAAAAAAAAAGGAACAGACTGGACTTCACCAAAATTTAAAACCTTTATGCTTCAAAGGACACCATTAAGAAAGTAAAGACAACCCACAATATTTGCAAATCACGTATCTGATGAAGAACTTATATCTAGAAACTATCAAGAACTCTTACAACTCAGCTATTGAAAGACAACCCAATTTAAAAATGGTCAAAGAGTCCGAATAGACATTTCTCCAAAGAAGATACACAAATGGCCAATGAGCACATGAAAAGATGCTCAACATCATTAGGGTAAGTGTTAGGGGCAATGAGGTACCGCTCCACACCCACTAGGAAGGCTAAAATAAAAAATGGAAATAAGTGTTGGCGAGGATATGGAGAAACAGGAACCCTTATGCATTATAGGCTGGAATGTAAAATGGCGCAGCCACATTGGAAAACAGGCCGGCAGTTCCTCAAAAGAGTTACCATATGATCCAGCCATTCCACTCCTAGGTAACAGACCCAACAGAAGTGAAATCATATGTCCATGTGACTTCCACATGAATGTTCATAGTGACGTCATTTGCAATAGCTAAAAAGTCAAAGAACCCAAATATCCATCAACGGATGAACAGACGAACAAAATGTGGTCCAGCCACACTGAAGGGTCTCACTCAGCCATAAAAACGAATGACACACTGACACATGCTGGTTCATCATTCACGATGTGGATGAACCTTGAAAACACGAGGTGGAGTGAAAGAAGCCAGACACAGAGGTCACACCGTGTATGAATCCATTACCACGCAATGTCCAGGTCAGGTAAATCCGGAGACAGGAAGCAGATCAGTGGTTGCCAGGGGCTGGGGAGGGGAACAGGGACTGCTAATGGGGACGGGGCTTCCTTTCGGAGTGAGGAAAGTGCTGACGAACTGACAGTGGTGATGGTTGTACAACCCTGAGCACACACTAAACACCACGGAATGATACACTTTAAATGGATGGATTGTGTGTATGTGAGTTCTAGCTCAGTAACGCTGTTGTCACAAGAACAAAATAAAACGAAAACCCAGGCAAAGACGCTGCAGGTGCTCACCAGAACGACAGCGATGGAAATGGAGGTGAGAGACCCCCAGGGAGGACGGGGAAGGGGCACCCTGGGAACAGGACCGGGGGAGCTGAAGCTGAAGCTTCCGCTGCCTAAAACCAAACATAAATGGACCTGAGGACAAAGGACTCATACTCCACGCGGGGCCCTGACCCGCAGACTGTGCTAGCAGGCGTGGCAAGCGATCTCCTGGCCAGATCCACGTGGGAAAAGGTGGCAGGAACCAAAGCCAAACCTGGTTTTCACAGGGGAACTTTCAAAAAATACATTGTTCTGTCTAGGACCAAAAGCTGCCATCAAGCACTACAGCAGAGCCCCGGCCTGGCCTGCTTACAAATGAGGCCCCCACGGAACAGGGGCCAGTCTGGCTGGCGTTGGGCTCCCTCCCAGCTCTGGGGGGGCTGTTGGGGCACACAAGGACCCCAGCACCTGAAAGGCTGCAGGTATGTGCCCGTCAGAGCCCACCAGCCAGGGCTCTAGGTGGCTTGGCTGCACCTGCCACAGACCAGAGGGGACGGTACCTTCAGATGTCAGAACAAGTCACTGCAAAGACCTGACATCTTCCTCAGCATCGCCCAGAGCAGGCACCAGAGACCCGATGACTGGTTTCCTGGGCAGTTAAAGGCCGTCATAGCACCCAGATCCTCAGGGACCAGAATGAAAACCAAATCATGTTCACGGTAACCCAGACACAATAGGAAGGGAGAACCGGCCACACGTCCGTGTCGCTGGCTAGGCCCAGCCCAGGCATGAGGGACGAGGAGGCCAGCTCCACCACACCACAGGATTAAAAGGATGGAGGCTGAGGGGATGCAGCGGATAGAGGGGTGGGAGTGGGCTCTGTGTCTGAGGGATCAACTCTAGGACATGGGTGGAAATCAGAGGCCTGAGAGAGAATAAAATGACAGGAGGAAAGTACTGTGGGGGCTTTCAGAGAAATACAGTGACTTCGCCTGCAAGGTGGTCTTATAGCTGAAGCAGCTCATTTGAGCAAAAAAGCCCTTCCTGTCAGAGGCAGGCCAGTCCCTGCTTTCCATCCCGAAACATTCCAGGAGACCATCTACAGCCCAGTCCTCACTGCTAACACGCACGGAGAGTGAGAAGCCAGGAAAGGAAAGAAGGGTCTGGACACTGCACGGCGTGAACTGGTGAGTGTCCTGAAGCAGCGAGGGCACATCCACCCCACCTCACCTGCAGACCACAGCCACGGCAGATGGCCCTTCCCACAGATCGGCGGGACGTGCCATCCTCCTAGTCTCTCAGAATCCGCCAGTCCCCTTGTGGGTGGCGCAGGGGAGGGCCGCCCAGCACCTTGAGAGCCCGATGCTACTTACTTGCCCTGGCTCAGGTCCACACCCTCAGAGGTGGCCCAGAAAGAACCGGCCACTGTCGCGGCACATATGGCTGCTCTTGGCTCTGTGAGCAGCCCACTCACAGACCCTCGGTGCCCCCTGGGGAGATGGAAGCTAGGAGGCCGAGCCACTGGTCCGGGTCACTCAGGTGAGGCCTGGTGGAGCTGGAGTCCTGACCACTTGGCCGTGCTCCTCTCCCCCGCCCAGCTCTGAGCTCAGAACACTCAAAGTCCTCAAGCAGAGACCACCAGTCCCAGCGGCACTTCTAGCACTCACTCTCAGGGTGCCACAGCCACCTCAGACCCAAGACATCGTGGGAACCCACGTGCCTTCACCGGTGCAGCTGCCCGGGGCTGACTGCTTTGCCCTGGTGCAGACTCCCCTCTGCTCAAATGATGAGGAGAGCAGGGAGGGCCCTGAGTGAGTGCTGAGCATATATGCCAGACCCCATTCTCCAGCCCCACAACTCAGGAAAGCAGAACAGTCCTTACTGATGTCATACAAGACCCAGAGATGTTAAGTAACTTGCCCAAGGTCACACAGCTAAGGAGAACTGGGTTCGAGCCGAGCAGTCAGACTCCCAGTCTCTGCATCACCACCACCTGCTAGGAGACACTCCAGGAAGCAGGACTATCCTGAGGACAGGTTAGCAGCCACTGACTGAACCTCAAACACTGAGACGTGAGTGGAAAAAGCCAGACACAAAAGGTCTCACATCTAACGTCCAGAACAGGCATAGCCATAGAGACAGAAAGCAGATTAGTAGTTGCCAGGGGCTGGGGGAGAGGCAATGGGGGGTGGTGAGGGCTAATGGTCATGGGGTTTCTTTTTGGGGTGATGAAAATGTTCTGGAACTAGATGGAGGAGATAGCTAAAGAACATACTGAATATGCTAAAAACCACTGAATTGTATGCTCTAAAGGAGCAAATTTTATGTGATGTGAATTATAGAGCTCAACTGAAAAAAAAAGCAAGAAAAAAACCCCGGTCTATGGTTACACGAAACTTAAAAGCCTCACCTGGAAGCCCCCCAGAAGCCTGTGCTTCCAGGAAGGGCAGGGCTAGCTTTCCTTCACCCCACCCCCAATGACAGGCGCAGCTGGCGCTGCGCAGGGCACAGCTCATCTGCCCAGGGTGAGCACTGTGCTTACCTGTACTTCGTTGCTTTTCTGTCTGATTGCCTCTTCCTTTTCTCTAATGTCTTGCTCCAGGGAGTACTTCTCTCTGGGCATTGAAAAAGATTTCAGGAAAGCACAGATGAGTGATAGCATGCCTACAGCCATGGTGTAGTTTCTCGGCAAAGAGCTTTCTCGGCCCTTCTGCTCAGTGTCCTCCCCCAAAATTAACAGGTGAGAGGTGGCTGCTTTGAAGAGGATCCCAGGGACATACAGGAAATGTATGTTCTTTCTGCCGGATTCTAAGAGTGCAGACACCCCATCCAAAGCCCTTGTTTATGGGTGGGGAAACTGAGGCAGAAGGCACAGACAGGAGCCAGAGACCTGTACACAAAGCCTCTCTCAGCCGTCAGTCCTAAGCCATTAACTTGCCACCTGAGACTCAGCCGTTTTATGTGCTGAGGGAGAGCAAGGCCTTCCTGAGGTCAGGGGGCAGGGCCTGGGGCTGCCTAGCAACAACCTGCCCAAGACCCTACAGTCCCCACTGACTACTGCGGACGTCATCACTCGAGCTCATTAAGTCAATTCAGGAACTCAGGGAAATGTGCAGCCCTTCACTTCTGATGTACGGACTTGTGATGGTCAACTTGCCGCATGTCTCACAAGTCTCCGGTACTTGTGGTAATAAGCTGGGATAGGGGCTGGTGTAAGATTCAGATTCTCAGGGGAATGAGCTTTAACACACCTTTGTAACTGGGCGATCTCTTGACTGATATCATCAAGTTCTTTCACACCAGTAAATTCCCCTGATCCAAGAGAACTTGAACCGTCCTGGAACCAAATTCAAATACAGAATTAAGAACTGTCAAGCTGAGGGGCCCCTGGGAGGCTCAGTCGGTTAAGCATCTGACTTGATTTTGGCTCAGGTCATGATCTTGGGGTTGTGAGATTGAGCTCAACGTCGGGCTCCACGCTGGGCACGGAGCCTGCTTAAGATTCTCTTTCTCCCTCTCCCTCTGCCCCTCCCCTCCCTTAAAAAAAAAACAAACTGACAAACTGAGGGGCACTTGGCTGGCTCAATTGGTGGAGTATGTGACTCTGGATCTCGGGGTTGTGAGTTCAAGTCCCACACTGGATGTAGAGATTAGTTAAAAATAAAATCTTAAAAAAAATTTGACAAGCTGACCTCAAGGCCCAGCAGGTACTAGTAGGTCCTAGTATGAGGAATATAGTCATGGTATCTCCAATTCACAGTAACAAAAGGGCCAGCACCGTGCCTGGAAAACTATCCCAGTGGCCCAGACACACCCCCTAGACCCACCCTTGGGCCCCTGGTGAGGGCTGGGGCCAGATTAAGGTAGGTAAGGACAGCAGGGCACTGGCCTGCTCATGCGGGCCACTGCCGCCACCTGGTGGCAGGCTGCGGGAACCCACGCACAAGACAGGTGTGGTCAGCAGTACTCACCGGGATAGGAGTGCCTCTCTCTGAGGGCGGGACCATGTCCGGTGACAGGACTTGAGGGGGGTCGATGCCTTTACTGACCTTCTGCTGAATGAAGTACATAGCTAATGCAAACTGGTCTTTACTTAACTTCCCTGTTTGCCTCGTATCAGCCAGGGCCCTGGGAAAAATGTGCAGATGCTAATTACACATCGAAGAAGCAAGAATTCAGCCCTGCATGCTAAGTACAAATCACAGAACCCATCCTTTAAAGAAATGACCAGCGACAATACAAACAATGGGGCACAGCGGCAACTCCTTTTCTACTGAACATCCCGTTCCCGGACAGCAGTCCCGACACCCCCCACCCAAGCACCCTGCCCAAAGACTGGCTGGAGAACCACCAAACCCCACCCCACAGGCCGAGGTGGCGGGCCTTTGGGAAGACCTCAGCAGCAACTACCAGAAATGGCACCGGCTCTTCACGGCGTTGGCGCGGGGGACCGCGATGGTCCAGTACAGAGCAGCCGTTCTGGTGGACATGAAGCGGGGCCCGAGTGTGCCCCCTCGGGTCTCTGGCCAGCCCGTGCAGCCCGGGTTATCTGAGCAGCCTGAGCTGCTGGCTTTCAACGGGGGTGACAGCAGCAGCATTCTGGGTTGTCGGCCTGAGGCAATGGGGCCCGGAAAGCCACGCCTGACCATGCTGCACAGGGCAGTGCCTCACAGCTGAAGTGTCCCTGCTCCCGTGGCCTTCTGGCAGCCTGGCAGGCGGGCAAGGCAGCGCGTAAGCCAGCGGCACATGGAGCTCCCGCAAAGCCTGGGGGAGAAGCTCTGCGACCAGCCCAGTAACCAAGGAGCTGGCCCTTACGGGAAGGAAAGCCTCACGCAGTGGGACAAGGCCTCCACATCTGCAAAATGTCTCACCCCGGCCACTCAACAGGTGGCCTCGCTTCCCACTGCGCGTAGTGACTGCAGAGCAATGACACTACCCTCTAACACGGAGCAGAGGAGAGCCGACAATGGTGAACAGACTCGGGCCCAAAGAGCCAACGAACGGGGCCACGGGGCGTTGGGGGGGGTACATAAAGACCCCACCGAATGTTGCTGATAAAGGCTGATCTAAAAACATCTTCATTCTTGTTGCAGTCTGAGGGCGAGGTGTGCTGATTCTGCCTGCCAGGGCCGGTCCTGCTGCACACCCAGTCCACAGCTGCTCCTGGGCCCGAGGCCTCATCTCTTGGGCCCTCTCCTGCTCCCCGTCTCTGAAGGAGCGTGGCCTCCGAGGCCCGCATGCGGGGTGCTTGGCCAGCCCCGACCCGTGGCAGCACGGCATTCTGGCTCCAGGGCTATGCCCCCGAGCCCTCCGGCCGCAGCTGCTCCCAGCCAGCCCTCTGGGCGTGTTATCTGCGCTTCAGGGATTCCCCTCCCCGCTTCCCCGGCCACCTGCAGATAAACCCAGACCGTCGTTACTCTTCTAGAGCATGCTCATCCTGCCTTTTCCCTTATACGCAACGCTTTCTGCGTTCCTTCTTTAATCCAAGCATACTGGTGATTTCATTGTCACTTCCCTGTCGCTGCACCACTTGCAGGTTGAGGTACTGTCCCTGTGCTTTGATCGGGGCGCGGCATCGCCACCTTTGAATCACACGCACATCCCACTTCAAGGTGATAAAGGGGGCACTGGAGCTGAAGGGGCGGAGAATGACTGTCCCTGACCTGTCAGAAGCAGCTGGTCTCCCCCAGCTGTTTGGTGACTGACTGGGTGTCACACACACCTGAAGAGACAGCCTGTTTTCTCAGGTTGAGGCTTCCCCTCACAGAGTGGACATCTATGAATTATTACCAAGGACAGTTATTTCCCCAAGCTACTCAGTAACGTGCTAAATTTCACTGCTCTTCTTTGGAAGGGTTCACCTCTCCAGAATTATATGGAAATTCTCTCTTTGTGACTCCCAAGTGAAGCCCCCTAAGCCCTGAGGACAAAGTTAGGAAGTGACCTTCACCACTGGTCAGCTGCAAAAGAAGCCATCCCTGCGCTGTGAAGACTGCTCTGATCCACCCTGAAGGAAAGTAGGGGTGAGGCCGGCTCCCTGACCGGCCCTGAGGTGCGGACCAGAGTCTCGTTGACTGCTCACCCTCCTGATGGGAGCCGAGTCGAGTCACTGACCTTCACAGGCCTCCTAGGGGAGGTGGCCGCAGCCCCCACTGCCCAGGGCGGCTCTACCCGAGCTGCTGGAGACATACCGCACCCTCCCCTCACAGGGGCAGGGCCAAGCGTCCGCACCGCGACTGGCTGTGGCAAAGGCTGGGCGTCCCGCTACAACCAGCATAACCACCTGCAAGAACTCGCCCCAGTCACTCAAGCAAATTGCCCCAGAGCTGTGAGAGGGACTAAACGGGTGGAGAGTGAGCTGCCGTGCCCAGGATACAGAAGGGCCTTCGCACTCCTACCCCACTCAAGCTCCCGTCCACCCCGGCAGGAGGCCTGCTGCAGGGCTGGAGAGACGCCCCTGACCGCCATGCCCTGATGGACACCTGCCCCTCCTTCACCACAAGCCTCACTTCCTCGGGGCCCCTCAGAGCCGCCCACAGCCATGACCTCCATACAGAAGGCCAGGACGAGTCGATGTCCAGCTACCCGTCCTTACCATATGTGTGCTAGAAGGTTCTGGGTGAGGCCCGAGTGCATGAAGATCTCCTTCACCTCCTGGCCGCTCACATAGCCATCCAGGTCCAGGTCGGTCTTCAGGAATATCTCGTCAAATCGCATCTTATCCGCAACCGGCACCACCCAGCTCACGGTTGGCTGAAATGGGTTTCAAAATGGTTGGTCTCTAGCTTCTCATCACCATAAACAGGTGCTATTAAAGCGCTTCCACGCGCTCCTGATGAGAGAAGTTATTAAGGCGCTTCTCCACGCATGTGGGTAGCACGACTCCAAGAACCCAGAGGGCACACAGGAGCCCCATTCTGTAAGTGGGGAAACTGAGGCTGACAGCAGCAGACCCCACTCAGTCAGCCTCTCCCACCCCATCGCAGCACCCCCTCTTCCTTGTATTTAGAGGGGGGGAAAGACCCAGCAGGTCTGAAGGGGCTTGAAGGGAAGCCAATGAATTCTCCTTCCAGGAGGGGGTCCAAATGTGCCAGGCAAGACCCTCCTGACAGCCCACGTTAGAAGGACGGTCTCCTGAGCACCAACCAGCCCCACTCTGACGCCAGCCTTCCTGGTCCTCTCGTATTCTGCCTGCAAACACTTCTCTGCAGCTGCCACAGGAGTTCTCGTGCCACGGCTCGGGATTCTGTACTCCATCCTTCGACCCTGACTCCATTCCCCGTGACACAGCAGCGTCCCCATGAGGTGTCAGCGCACAGCAGACACTGACAGGGACTGAATGAGGTGGATGTGAAAATGGTGTCTGCTGGATGGACAGGCACCCAGGGCCCTCTGGTGCTGGCGGGGGAGCCCAGGCCCCAGATGAGCATGCTGTCACCTGTAAGGATCCCACCACCCTCGAGGGCACTGCCCCGGCAGATGCAGTGAAGAGTATCTGCGAGCCCCGGGTAGTGCCATTTCGGCAGCGACAGGGCTTGGCCACCTGCTGCATGTGTGACCCCTCCCGTTGCCTGCTCAGGTCTACATAAGAGGGGTCCACCAGGGCCCATGTACCTCCTATTTCAGGGACATCGGAGGCCCCTTCAGCTGCTAATTTCTGGACATGTCACCTCTGACCTTTGGCATACTCATTGAACCAAGTTCCACGGCGCCTCTGCCCCTTCTAGAGACGTTTTTCCTCATCCGCTCTTTCTGAACAGGTCTCCCTCGCTATCCAAATCCAGCATGATCCTGACGTGAGCACTGGGAATCCAGAACGTAAGGGGGGGAAGCAAGGGACACCATGTTACCCAGATCATTTCAGTTCCAGGATTCTGGATAGGGAGAATGAGTTAGTCCAGCAAGGATTTATCAGAACCTGTGGACCGAATTCAAAGAGCAAGGGCTCAGGACCGAATTCAAAGAGCAAGGGCTCAGGCAGCAGGAATTTAGATAACGAGAGAGACCTGCACTTTACCTGCCCTGTTATGTGAATTTTGTGAGCCACCTCAGAGTAGACATAAAGACGCACGTAAAGGATCTCTAACAAAGAAGAGGCCTGCTGTCTTTACGTCCAGTGGCTGGGGTAAGCTAAAGCTCAGATGCCAAGAAACCCGAGGAGGAAGTAACAGCAGATCAGACAAGCTAAGCTGAGGGAGAAAACGGTTTCTGTGCTCCACAAGTCCCAAGAGATTACAACTCTGGGATGACAAAAATCCTAACATTCAATGTGCACACAAAATGAGCTTGCTGCCTGATTTCTGGGGTGTCAGAGTATGTCGACAGCAACACTCCGAATCTAACTTGGCTACAAATCCAACAGGGAACAGCCTTCTCCTTGGAGCTGGGTCCCCAGAAAGGGCTGGGTTTAAGGCTGGCTTAGCAGCCACAGGCCCCCACTAAATAACAATAGACCCTGGTGGCTGGAAGGGGCTGTGCCCCACAGCTGGCTGTGAAGACAGGACCTAGCGGCCCTAGGCTGGTGGTAAGAGAAGTGGTGGAGGGGACGGCATGGTGACTGTGGGTCCCCAGAACTGCTCGCTCTCATGTCTGTGACCACCAGCTGCCCCCATCCTTGGGGAAAGGAACGCACCCTCGTCTTCCCACTCCCACCCAGATAGAGGTCCCTGGTAAAACAGGTCTAGTTGCAACCAGCAGCACGCTCCCAGGGTCTGGGGAGAGCCACCAGATCACCATGGACAGGGTTTACAAAGCTGGTCAACCTGCACTGCCAACAACCTTGGCCCCACTTGCTTCCGTGTCAGTAAAAGCTGTCACCACTAACCTAACCTACAGTACTTAGTAAGAACTCTCAGAAAGAATTTTGCAGACACAGGTGCTGGCTGTCTTGGGGAAGAGCTCGTGCAGGTCTAAGTTACCAGCCTTGGCCCCCTCTCTGACTCCATCCCACCCTTCTTCCTGTTTCTAGAGGTTCCCACTTGATAGCCTTGGCACAAGCTAGTCCTCTGATGGCTTTCTGTCATTCAGGTGTCAGCTCACACCTCCTTAGTGACCTTCCAGCTGACGCCATCTGCAGGAGCACACCCCTCTCCTCGGCCCAAAACTTCCAGGCCAGGCCCGGTTCTGCTTCTCATAGTATCTGACCTTCCTTAGTTTACTGAAATGTTTATTGTCTATCTCCCTAAGGAGGGCAGAGGCCAGTCCCACGGTCACTGCGGCATCCCCAGGAAGTGCAGGCACGGCTGGTGGGCTGCTGAGCTGGTGAAGATGCCCAGACTGCGCCATCTGGACGCTGGGCTTATTAACAGATACCCACCAACTGGAGGGGAAGCCCGATTACCTGTGCCTCTCCACATGGCTAGGGCAGTGATGGGGGGCTCTGTTGGCCCCCCTGACCAAACCGCCTCGACCCTCTCTCAGAGGACCCTTGCTCTATGGTGCAGCAAGCTCCTGGAAAATGAGCCGCCCCTGCCCCCTCCCCACCAACACCAAGCAGAATGCTTAACTTTACAAATATGTCACATGCAAGAGATTCACCACCTGATCATGTATTTCTGGAGCATTAAGTGCCTGACAATTCATTTTTTGATTGTAATTTAAGTGCCTGTCATTAAGCTTTTGATTGCTGAGGCACTCATTTCAAAAACATCCATCTCAGATGAACACATTGCCAGCCACATGATGAGGGAAAGAGCCAGGTGGCCCATGCGGTCCCCTGGGAAAGCCAGGGTGACCTAGATAGTTGGCCGCCTGAGTGACCCCACTTTTCCCTTCCCATGCTTTCATTCCCACTCTTATGTTTTAAATTCACCAGTAAAGAGTGAACCCAAGAAACCAGAGGCCCCCATCATCGACCCCAAAAAGGCAGAGCCCCATGCCCAAGCTTGCTCTCTCTCTAGCCCTGGCCTTGCTCTGGTGGCCCTGGGGGTGACGCACACTCTGTAGGACCTGTGAGTCATCAATCTTAGTTTTTCAAATTTTCCTGACGGTTGTTGCCAAGATGCATTTTGCAAATTCTAACAAGAGCCACAAAGACATCTGCTCCGGGGTCGGGGAAGTGTCGGCGGGGTCTCGCCCCAAGTTATGGGGGCCCCAAGTGAGCGCCACAGGCATCCCTAGCCGACAGTGCCACTTACTGACAGGCCGAGACCAATGCAAGATGGTTTCCCATTTCTACTCTTATGGTTCATATCTGAACCTGCATGGCAGTGCTGGCTGGCCCTTTTCATGTCACCTGCACTGCTTTCCCTCTGAAACCAAAAATGAGGCAGGACGCAAAGCATGACTCAGGATGGAACGCAGGATGTCACATTCTTGCGTGTCTGAGATCATCTCAAAGGTGCCTTTTTATAAAAGAGCCCTTCATGGTGTGCTACATTTGCCAGAACAAGAGATGTCTTTCTGGTTTTTTTTTTTTTTAAGATTTTATTTATTTCTTTGACAGAGATTGCAAGAGAGAGCATAAGCAAGGGGAACAGCAGAGGGAGAAGGAGAAGCAGGCTCCCCACCAAGCAGGGAGCCCAAGGCAGGGCTCGACCCCAGGACCCTGGATCAAGACCCGAGCCTAAGGCAGACGCTTAACCGACTGAGCCACCCAGCTGCTCCAAGAAATGTCTTTTTGATACATAAGATGCTGCCCGCTGGGAGTCAGAGCCCCCACACCGTCTTCCTAACAAGAGATGAATGCCTCGCTTGCTCACGTGACACTCAACATGTTTACTGAGCATCAGAGTACCTGAGATTGCTCTAACACTGAGATGATAACCAAGAACTAACTCTGCTCTCATGAAGCTAAGCGGGGGGGATGTGAAAGAGACAGATGACACATAACTACATAACAGGCCAGGCCTGGGAAATCTAGAATGCAGGGTGGACAGAGCCCAGGGCACACTGGCTGTGGTCACGCCCGAGCCCCCTGCTAAGGTGCCCCATGTGAGCAGAGGCCTAACGAAGCAAAGTGCTGGGGTATGATCTGGGAATGCACCTGCCCAGCAAAGGCGCTTCCTGAGGCAGGAGGGACAGAAACGAGAGAAGAGAGCCCGAAGAGAGCCCAGAGGTGGGAGCAACCGGAGTGTGTCTGAGGAAGGGTGATATTTGTGTGCAAATGAATGAGAAACTAACTCAGAATCCCTGTAGCTATGGACTCGATGTTTGTGCCCACCCCACCCCAGAACTCTTATGTTAAAACCTAACCCCAATGTGATGGTATTGGGAAGTGGGCCTTGGGGAGTGATTAGGTCATGAGGGTGGAGTTCCATGAATGAGATCACTGCCCTCATGGAAAGGACCCCAGAGAGCTCCCTCATCCTTTGCACCACGTGAGGGCACAGTGAGAAAACCATCTGTGAACCCGGAATCAGGCTCTCATCAGACACCCAATCTGCCAGTGCCTGGATCTTGGACTTCCCAGCCTCCAGATTTTCTGTGAGAAATAAATGTTTGTCACAATCACCCAGTCTATGGTATTCCATTACACTTAAACAGAGTAAGATACCGACCATAAATATTGTTTTAAAAAACATAATCATGGGGCGCCTCGGTGGCTTAGTCAGTTAAGCATCTGCCTTTGGCTCAGGTCATGGTCCCAAGGTCCTGGGATCGAGCCCCACGTCAGGCTCCCTGCTCGGCGGGAAGCCTGCTTCTCCCTCTCCCTCTGCTGCTCCCCCTGCTTGTGTGTGCTCTCTCTGTCTGATAAATAAAAAAAATCTTTTAAAAAACACTTTAAAAATGAATAAATAAATAATAAAAAATAAAAACCGCAATCACCAATGTTACCTTTCTGGGGTCCCGAATTACTTGCTCCCAAGGACCATCCGGCTGGAACTCTACCCGTGCAGACGGCAGCTCTAGAAGCGGCCGCTTGCAGAGGGCACCGTACCTGTGTTTGCTTGATGCTGTGCTTGGGGGACAAGCTCCCCGTGCTGTTCAGGCTGCTGACGCTGCCGTGGGAAGGCGTGGAGCGGAGGCTGTCTTTCGGTGGGGGGCTGGCAGGCAGGACGGGCACAGCGCCTGGGAACACGGTCTTCTTCCTCTTGGAAGGTGGGATGAGGGATGGAGGCAGGACAGAGGGCACAGGCTCCTTCTCGAGGGCTCGGTACACCAAGTGCATCGCCTGGGAGTGTGAAAGAGGATTACGTTCAGGTGGCCAGACGCAGGCCGTGGGCGGGGAAAGGGCAGCTCTTTCCAGGACTGCAGCGATGTGACTGCTCTTTTTGAGGTCCCTTCCAAGCTGTACAGAGTAAAAGATAAACCTTCCCTGATGCGTTCTCTTCCAATGCATCATTTTTCCAAGATGTGTTTAATCACATAAGATCAACATGAGCCCAAAAGGAATTCAATCATGCCCGACTCCACACGTGTCCCTTCACCACACAACTCCAGGGCTGACGAGTCCCCAAGTAGTGGAATTTGGAAGTCTAAAGACACACCACGGGCACTGTATGTACTTCCTGTTTCAGGCGGGCAGAGAAAAGAAACTTTGTCTAATACAAAGATTTAAGTCTGTTTTAAAGTGTAACAAAACCAGGGGTCCCTGGGTGGCTCAGTCGGTTAAGCCTCTGACTCTTGATTTTGGCTCAGGTCATGTCCATGCTGGGCGTGGAGCCTGCTTAAGAGTCTCTCTCTCCCTCTCCCCCGTCCCCCGCCTCAAAAAAAAGGTAACAAAATCAAACCAAAATTATAACCCTTCCCACTTAAAAATATTCCTTAAGTTGCTATTTGAATACAGACCAGATCACTAACACAGGTAAAATTTACCATCACTTAACGCTACAGAATGTTAAACCCAGAGAGTGACGAAAAGAAACCTAAATGACACAATCATAAGACCCATTTACAGAACAATATAAATTTCAGCTGAAATGATAGGAAATGATAAAAACAAAACAAGAATGGAAACTCAGGGCTCCTGAGGCCGTGAAGAGAGGGGCATGTGCCCGGGTTCACTGTGGGCCAGCCATCCCATGCCTGGGAAATCACCCCAAGAGCAGTTCAACGATCCAAATACTTCAAGTCCAGTGCGGTCAGAGAAAATATAAAAACTAAATAACGAGGGCCTGAGGGACAGCAAAGCTAGTGTTCAATGGGGACAGAGTTCCAGTTTTGCCGGATGAAGGGTCCTGGAGATGGGAGGTGGTGGCAGCTGCACAGCCACGTGAAAATATTAATGCCCCTGAACCACACACTTGAAAATGACTATGACGGTAAATTTTATGTTCTATATATTTTACCACAATAAAAAAAATAATAATGGGGTGGCTGGGATGGCTCAGTCGGTTAAGCACCTGATTTTGGCTCAGGTTGTGCTCTTGGGGTCATGAGATCGTGCCCTGTGTTAGACTCCAAGCTCAGCGCGGAGTCGGCTTGAAATTCTCTCTCCCTCCCCCTCTGCTCCCAGCGCTGCTCGTGCTCACTTGCTTGTGCTCTAATAAATAAATAAATCTCAAAAAAAAAAACCAAAACACTGCCCTTAACTACAAGAAGCTACTTTGTTCTACTTTGTTTGAGATTTAAGGGAACAAGGTGAGTGAATAAATCCCATGAATGGGAAAGGTCAAAGATGTGAGGTGGAGGGAAGGGAGGAATGAGAGGAGAGACAGAATGACACAGGCCCAGGGTGAGGAGGGCTGGCTTGCGAGGACATGAGCCCGGCCACTGGGCAGCTGAAGAGGAAGGTGGGGAGCTACAGGGGTGTGGAGGGCGCAGCTTCATGGGAAAGCAGCCTATAGGACGGGAGAGCCCTGATCAACACACAGAAATACCAGGGCCATTAGAAGTATTAGAGGGCGGGAGGGCCAGGGCTCAGACATAAGCAGACCTGAAAGCAGATGGTGGTGCCTTGGGGCACCTGCTGGGCCCGTCTATACACACCTACTTCCAGCTCTGTCTACTAAGAGGTCCTGAAAGCAGTGGCACCCCAGGGGCACTGAGCACCCCAGAGCCCACATCCTGGTTTCTAACACCATTCGCCACTACATGGAACCGGGGCTCCCTGGAGAACTAGGGCCGGGGCAGGAAATACACAGGAGGAGCCAGGAGCAGCCCCCCAAGCCAAAAGGAAGCAAGTGCTCAGACAATGATGTGATGTGACCAAAGGACAAAGGAGCCCGCAGGGAGGAGCTCCAAATGGGCAAAATAAATCACGCCACTAAAAGATTATAAACCGTGGAACAAAGGATGCAGCCCTGAGTCCACTGTGATACAAACTCCTATAGTAGAAGGCTAACTAGAAAATGTGCAAGAAGTGCCAGAATTAGAGACTCGTCTGGCAACCACCATAATCGTTACTCAATCAGGTGAGACTCCTGGGAGGGCACGAGAACTAGCAGGTGAGAGGTGGAAGAGGAATGGGGTGGTCCAACCTCCGTGTGTCTCCCACAAGAGACTGAGCACACAGGAAGACAGTAACTCTGCAGAGAAACCCACAGGCTCTACCAACTGCAATCAAGGTTGACACTGTGTCAACAATGTGGGGTAAGATACCACAGGTCCTGTCGACGGCATGGAGCCCAAGAAAAACAAGCATCAGCTCGGTGGGGTCCTGCCTCATGCAAGTGCACGACCTGGATCATCATGAGGAATCAGCCGATATCCCCAAGCTGAGGGACCCTCTACAACTGCTGGCCTGCGCTCTTCAAAATACCCATGAGACACAGAGACAAACGGAGCTCTTGCTCCAGATTAGAGGACATGAAAGAGACGCTGCTGCGGAATCTAACACAGGAGGCTGGAACTTCTTTGCTGCAAAGGATGTCTGGGGACAACTGGCAAGGTCTGAATAATATCCTTAGGTGATACATAACAACATATTAACACAGAAGCTATACGATAAGACACAAAATAGTATGATAAATCCGACACTGTCAATGTTAATTTCCTGATTTTGAATTGGACACTGGGTATGTAAGAGAATTCCCTGGTTTTAGGAAATACACACTGAAGTGTTCTGGGACAAAAAGGTATGGTGTCCGCAACTGACTCCAAAATGGCTCAAAGGAAAATTTCAGGTGTGTGTATACTTACATGCATATGGCGTGAGAGGGAGAGAGGAGGAGGATAAAGCAATGTGGTAAAATAATATCACTGGGGAATGTGACTCAAGGGTATTCAGAAGAATTCTCTGTATTACTGTCACTTTTCTTTAAATCCAAAGTACATCAAAATAAACACTCCTTAAAAATCAGAGGAAAAAAAAACACGACTCGAGAAACATTTCCTTCCTCAGCAGAGTGGAAAACGAGAGTCACAGCAGGGGCCTACCACAGCAAACTCATCTCTGTCCAGGTGCCCATCCTTGTCAATGTCACTGAGGTCCCAGACCTGCAAGGGAAAGAGAGCAAGGCTTACTGGGGAAGGAAGCATGCCTGCCAGAGCTCAGATTCTGAGTGCTCGGTGATTAGCAGGGTTAAGACAAGGCAATCAAGGGCGCCTGGGTGGCTCAGTCAGTTAAGCGACTGCCTTCAGCTCAGGTCATGATCCTGGAGTCCCGGGATCGAGTCCCGCATTGGGCTCCCTGCTCGGCGGGGAGTCTACTTCTCCCTCTCCCACCCCGTTTGTGTTCCCTCTCTCGCTGTGTCTTTCTCTGTCAAATAAATAAATAAAATCTTTAAAAAAAAAAAGACAAGGCAATCAAAATGCATTTGAGAAGCAGTCGGTGGGTTCTCTGAAAAACCACTAGCTGATGAAGTATCGTCAATTCCAAGATCCTTTTTGTTATACTATGTTCACTTTCTCTAACAAATGATCATAATTATAAACACGTCCACCTTGGTTTTCTCTTTACCGTCTTACCAGGAATTCTTAGAAAAGATGCTTTGGTTTTGGCACAGGTGTTGCTCCGAACACAAGCCCCCCACCACCATTCACGCTGTGCAGGGCTGTGGGCGTGCCTTCACCATTGGTGGATGGTGAGGCAGGTGCCACCAAGTATGCTTGGCCCACTTGGCACCCTGAAGATGAGGCAGACAGGTATAGGTTCCTATTCTGGGTCAAAGGCCAGGTGCCAGATTTTCTCAAGTACAATCAAAGCACTAGCTTCCTGACCCAAGTCAGCCCCACCCCGAACCAGCAGGCCTGCCCGACTCGGACAACGCTGCGCACAGCGCCAGTGCCCAGAGCTAAGCAGATACCATAGCGTCCAAACATGGTGCTTCACGTGCTGGTCCCCTCTCAGTCAATCATGAGTGACATCAGCCCAGGGATATTTCTCATGGGCAGGTCCTCCTCCCCAGCCCTGCTGCTGTCCTTGACTTGGGCCTCTCCAATACTCCACAGAGGCCAGAGCCTCCAGCTGGCCTCTTTGTCTCTAATCCTTTCCCCAGGGCTACCATGGGGACTGTTCTAGAATACACTCTGAGACTGTCCCCTAGACTGGCACATGAAGCCCCCTGTGCCCTACACAGGTCCCTGCACCAGAGCCCAGCTTCCAGGGACTCCACCTTGCTCTCTAGGGAGCCCAAAGTGTTCACAGTCCCTTCAAGCAGAGAGATGACATTTTGGAGGCATTCTGTATCAGGCTGAGTGCTTTATGCCACCAGGTTCAATTTAGGAAGCAGAGGTTCACGAAGAGTAACTTTTTCAAAGACATGGCACTTGCTCGGGGAACTAGGACTAGAACAAGACTTCCTGGCTCCACGCCTCTCCCCGCCCAGGGCCTCTCTACCTCAGCACCACTGACATTTGGGACTGTATCACTCTCTGTGGTGGAGCTGACCTGGGCCCAAGTGATGTTGAGCAGCGTCCCCGGCCTCCACCCACCTGATGCCAACAACACCCGACCCAGGCAGGACAACCAGAACTGTCTCCAGACACTGCTCAACATCCCTGGGGGAGGAAGTGCCTGGTAAGAATACCAGCCCTCCCCAGCACGCCTCTCCTCATGCTGTCATGCGCCTGGCCTTCCCATCCCATCGTCAGCCCCCCATTTCTTCTCTCTTGAGGACACAATCCAGAAGTGCCTACTCTAGGAAGCCTTCCCTGCCTGCCCTGTACCCCTCTGCTCTGGCGGGTCAGGCACCTCCCGTCTGCCACTGTCCTCACCGGGCAGAACCACAATATCAGGGAGGCAATGGGCAGCAGGGGGTCACCAGGAAGAGTGAGGGCTCTGGGGACCACCTAGGGCTTCATTCTCCTCTCCGTGAGACCGAGAGGCTTATTGGCCACTCCGAAGTCCCCCTTTTCCTCATCTAGAAAATGGAAGGGACGCCATCCATAACAAGGTCGTTTCAAGTCCTGAAGGACCTCATTCACGCAAAGTGCTGTAACGGGGCTTGGCATGTAGGAAGCCCTCGATAAAGAGATATTATGATCTTAACTGTTACTTATTTGCTCTCCTGGACTACATCTAATCTCATCCCCATCTTCCCGGTGCTCAGCAAAAGGCCTGGCCCCAAGCAGACTCCAACCTTCCTGAATGACTGAATGGATGGTTGGTGCATGGAAGCACAGATGAATGAACAGAAGCAGAGAGGCACAGATGCACGAGTGCACTGGTGCATCACGGACAGACAGGTGCACAGATGGATGGGTGCACGGATATGGAAGCACACATGCATGGACGGACGGGTGCACAGATGGATGGGTGCGTGCCTATGAAGGCACGTGTGCGAAGATACGGATGGGTGCATGGATTCGGATGCACACAGGCACAGGAGGATGGGTGCATGGATACAGATGCACGCGCGCACAGGTGGACAGACGCATGGATATGGATGCATGTGTGCGGAGGTATGGATAAGTGCATGGATATGGATGCACGCACACACAGGTGGATGGGTGCAAGGATGTGGATGCATGTGCACATGCTTGAATGGGTGCACATAAGCCTGGCACGTGCAGAAAAGCAGATGAGAAGTGACCCGTGTGCCACAAGACCTGGAGCCTGGCAGAAGATCTGCACAATGCACCCTTCCCAGCCACAGTTCCCTTTCTCATGAAGCACACTCCACCTCTGTCAGTCTATCTGTCTTGTTCGTGATCTGGCTCTACAACAGGATTACATCCAGTTGTCAGGTATTCTGCAAGGACTGACAAATGCACGTAATGTGCAGGCTGCAATTAAAACTCATGCCTTGTAAAGATGCTTAGTCCCCAACACAGAGCTCCGCCTACACCAGGCCACAGCCAAAAGGGAACAAAGGGATTTGAGAGATTCCCCTTTCTTAGTGGCCTTCTTTCAAAATATTGTATTAAGATAGGCTCTACCTGGATCCTATCAAATGGGCCAGTGTCCACAAAAGTCATAATCAAACAGAAACATTATTAGGTGAATCCAAAGGACAAGAATTTGTACCTTTCCCAAAGGTTCTACCAAATGTCATGAGCTAGACCCACAGGTGTCGCCTGGAGCAGCAGGGACTATGCTCAGTCCCCTGCTCTGGGCCTGTGCCTGCCACCTCTCTGTGATCCAGTCCAGACAGATGACAACATCCATCCCTTCTCAGTGCGTAGCAGGGAACTCAGTATGGACAGCCTTGTGGAACTGGGCTTTGTGCACAGAGCAAACACACAGGGCCATGATGCAAACCTCATTGGAGGGAAGACAGTCTGGAATAAAAAGCTGCATCTAAAAAACTTGTATTTAATAGGAACAAAACTAAGGGCCTTTTTTTAAAGAGAATGCATAAAATTTTTTCTAAACTTGCAGCAGAATTTAAAGTACCTTTACCTTAAGCTCATAGGCAGAAGAAAAGTAATTAAAAAAAGAAAAGAGGGCACCTGCGTGGTACAGTCAGTTGAGCATCTGACTCTTGGTGTCAGCTCAGGTCTGATTGAGCCCCGTGTTGGGCTCCACGCTTGGTGCAGAGTCTGCTTGAGATTCTCTCTCCCCCCGTCTCTTTGCCCCCCCCACTCACGCTCTCTCTCTAAAATAAATAAATCTTAAAAAAAAAAAAAAAGAAAAGAAGAAAAGAGTTCTAGACATACACTCCCATACTGCTCCCCAGAAGCACACGGAGTAGGGGACATCCCAGGTCTGGGTTCAAATCTCACCTCTGCCCATCTTTGGGCCCCGGGCAGCAAGCTCACTTCTGAAGCTGCCTCCCCAGGCGTGCAATGGGCCCACACCAGCATCTTCCCACAGGCTGGGGAGCATCTGTGAGCCACATCCATGAGGCCCTAAGCCAACTTGACTGTAGCAAGTTCTCCATGTACATCGGCTCTTACAAAGCCCCTGATGGTGCATGGCCGTGTGTAAAGCCTCATACGTGTGCGTGGGGAGCAAGCTTGGGGCAGACGGAAGTCAGCAGCAGTTCAGGATGTGAGAGAACCACTTACCCGGCCCAGGACATCAAGAGGCAGCTTTGAGTTCATGAGGACTGGCTTGACTTTGTCTCCAGAGAGCAAACCATTGATGGGTAAGAGGCTTTCAAAAATTCCGTCAAATTTTGCCTTTTCTTCCACCTAGTTGGAAAGGAATAGCCTGAGTGAGTAAAAAAAGGGTGCCTGTGGGAGAGTCTAAAATGAGCTCTGACCCAAAGCTGAATGAAAACAGGCAAGGACCTGCCACTGGCCTTGCCTAAAAGCACAGGACGTCTTATAGCAGTTCCAGAGTGAACATCTGCCCTGAAGGAAACAGCTCCCTGGCAACTACGAATTTGGCGGCCAAGGTCAGTGAGGAGACAGGACCTGGCCATGGGCCTCGCTCTCCACCACAGGGGCTGTCTGGGAGACAAAGATCGCCCCTACCTCCCTCCTAGGAGCTCACTAGGACTAGAAAGATGCAAGTGTGAATGGGTTTTCGTTCTTTAAGATAAACAACTAAATCTGAATGTCAACCTACAGAACTAAAAGAGCTCAAGAACCAAATACAAAAATAAACCAAAGACTTAAGCAACCAATTATCAAAATCAACTTTAAGAACAGGAAATCCTCTCAGAGTAAAAAAATAAATTATAAAAGCTCCTAGTGAACAGAGAGGTCTGGACGGGACTTAGAATGCAAAGTAGCAGCTATGGCTACTGTGAAATACGAAATGCGGGCGGTGTGTCCAAGGGGCCATCGGTGAGGCGGGTCTGGGCAGGGGCAGTCTGCCCTCCTCCAGAAATAAAACCCACAGTGACTGGACCCAGGGGGGCAGACCCCTCACTACCTGCTCTGCCCACAAGCTGGAGCCACAGGAGCACTAAGAAACCCTCACAAGCATCTGTTGACAGAATGGATAACCAAAATGTGGTGCATCCACACAATGGAATATTCTTCAGCCTCAAAAAACAAGAGATTCTGACCCAGACTACAACAGGGATGAACCCTGAGGACATTATGCTGAATGAAATAAGCCAGACACCACAGGACAGGTACTGTGATTCCACTTCTATGAGGTCCCTAGAGGAGTCACACTCTGAGAGACAAGAAGTAGACTGGTGGGCGCCAGGGACTGGGGGCGGGGCAGGGGGGAGTTAGTGTTTAATGGGGACAGAGTTTCAGTTTGGAGCGATGAGAAAGTTCTAGAGATGGATGGTGGAGATGGCTGCACAACAGTGTGAATGTACCTAACGCTACTAACTATATGCTTAAAAATGGTCAAGATGGTGGGGGTGCCAGGTGGCTCAGTAATGTTGAGCGTCTGACTCTGACCAGTCATGATCTCAGGGCTGTGGGATCGAGCCCCGCATTGGGCTACCTGCTCAGCACGGTGTCTGCTTGAGATTCTCTCTCTCTCTCCCTGCCCTCCCCATCCACGTGCATGCGTGTGTGCGCGTGCATACGTGCGTTCTCTCTCTCTAAACTGTCTGCATGAGATTCTCTCTCTCCCTCTCCCTGCCCTTCCCGTCCACGTGCATGCATGTGTGTGTGAGCATACATGCGTTCTCTCTCTCTCTGCATGAGATTCTCTCTCTCCCTCTCCCTGCCCTTCCCATCCACGTGCATGCATGTGTGTGCGCATACGTGCGTTCTCTCTCTCTAAATTGTCTGCATAAGATTCTCTCTCTCCCTCTCCCTGCCCTTCCCATCCACGTGCATGCATGTGTGTGTGAGCATACATGCGTTCTCTCTCTCTCTCTGCATGAGATTCTCTCTCTCCCTCTCCCTGCCCTTCCCATCCACGTGCATGCATGTGTGTGCGCATACGTGCGTTCTCTCTCTCTAAATTGTCTGCATAAGATTCTCTCTCTCCCTCTCCCTGCCCTTCCCATCCACGTGCATGCATGTGTGTGTGCACATACATGCGTTCTCTCTCTCTAAACTGTCTGCATGAGATTCTCTCTCTCCCTCTCCCTTCCCTTCCCGTCCACGGCATGCATGTGTGTATGTGCGCATACGTGCGTTCTCTAAACTGTCTGCATGAGATTCTCTCTCCCTCTCCCTTCCCTTCCCGTCCACGTGCATGCGTGTGTGTGTGCACGCATACGTGCGTTCTCTCTCTCTAAATTGTCTGCATAAGATTCTCTCTCTCCCTCTCCCTGCCCTTCCCGTCCACGTGCATGCATGTGTGTGTGCGCATACGTGCGTTCTCTCTCTCTACTGTCTGCATGAGATTCTCTCCCTCTCCCTGCCCTTCCCATCCACGTGCATGCGTGTGTGTGCGCGCATATGCGCGTTCTCTCTCTCTAAATTGTCTGCATGAGATTCTCTCTCTCCCTCTCCCTGCCCTTCCCGTCCACGTGCATGCATGTGTGTGTGCGCATATGTGCGTTCTCGCTCTCTAAACTGTCTGCATGAGATTCTCTCTCCCTCTCCCTGCCCTTCCTGTCCACGTGCATGCATGTGTGTATGCATACATGCGTGCATTCTCTCTAAAATAAATCTTTAAAAAAAAAATGGTCAAACGGTGAAGTTCATGTCACTTATATTTCACCATAATTAAAAAGAAAATAAGAACACAGAAAGGAGAGCACACACAGATACTGCACCCACGAGGCCCCGAGAAGGTGAGCACCTTGTGTCCCCCTCGAGTGTCTCAAATTCTACCCACCGGCTCAAAGACCAGCAGCTCTCCCAACGGAAAAGAACACTTGGCACTTCAGCTTTGTCACTGTTTCTCTGATTGAAATGGCTGAATCTCTCTTGAAAACAGTCTACCCCCATCACAGCACCATTCCTGCCCAGCCTCCTACGTGAGGCCTCAGAGCCTCCTCTGGCACCAGCCCTTCTCGGGAGGCCTCAATGCAGGCCTGCCAGAAAGGGACTGGAACAGTTCAAGGACTAAGAGCTCTCTGGCATCGTTTTCCACAACAAAGCAGCTCTTTTCGAAGTGCCGTGCAACTGGACAACAAAGAAGGAACTCCTTTGGTACTGTGACTGCTGCCGGCAAAGTGCTCAGTTGCTCCCAGAGGTGACTCCACAATTCCTTGGCCACATGAGGCTGTCTCCTGCCCTATCCCTGGCCAAACCTCCCCTTCTCCAAACCCTTCCAAGGACAGAACAGAAAAACAGGAGAAATGTATGAGGTCGGGCAGGGGGGGCGGGGAGAATGTCTTTATTTTATAGCAAGACTGTTATTAATGTCAGTACTTAAGCCAACTAGAAGTGAGGAAATATGACAATCCCCTTACAACTGAGGAGTGAAGAGGTCTCAGTATCTGGGGACCGTCTCCATGTCCCACGTGCATTTTCTTTAGGACTGATTCTGTACCTATTAGAGGTTATTAGAGGTTATCGTATTAGAGAGTATCGCTTGTATCTTTCTTTGCTGCTTCTAGAAAGACTTCGGACATGGAGGCTGTCCCCTCAGGTACTGAGAGAAACTTTTCCAAAAGCAATGACAGCAACAGAAAGGAATGAATAATAACGCATGAACTGGCTAGAAATAAAAGCAAGAGCTACGAAGATACCTTAGAGGTTTTCAAGCTTGGAAGTTCTCACAACTGGCCCTTCTATCCTGATTAACCAACCCAGGCAGCAAAAACCACACAACATGACCCGGAAATGCAAAATATAACTGTAAAATTTTAATAATCCATCACCTGAAACTCAGCTAACTGCCTTAGCAGGGCAATGTCCAAAAAGGTCACGGCCATTTAAAGATTTTAATCTGAAAGAGTGTCTTGGTTAAATTCTGTGGCAAACTCACTCTGAAACAGACCAGGTACAATCATCCCATGTAGCGTTTGAACACCGTAAGTGGCTAAAACAACTGCATGTGGAGGATGGCTGAGGGGCGCCGCCGGGGGTCACTCACCCTCACAGCCCAATGGGCCTCTGCGGATGGCGGCGTGACCATCAGAGGGCTGCTGGTATCGTGCTGGAAAGGAAAAGAAACACTCGGCTGTGGCTGGCATGGAATTCAACTACGGAGGACATGTTTGTGCTAAGGACACACATGTCAAAGTGCTTTCAAATGGGGAAAGCCTCAAAAAGTTAAACACAAGAACTACCATATGCCCAGCAATTCCACTCTGAGAACTGAAAATACGTGTGCAAACAAATCCCCAAACACGAATTGTCATGTCCACCACCAGAGGAATGGACCGACCACAGAATGCGGTCTGATGTGGCAATGAAAAGGAACCAAGCACTGACACCCATTACGGAGCGGATGATCCCTGGAAACATTATGATGAGTGAAAGCAGCCAGATCTATGATTCCATAAAATGACCACAACAGGCCAATCCATACAGACAGAGAGATGAATGGCTGCCAGGGGCTGGGGGAGGGGGATCCCATGAGGGGTTACTAATTGGGTAAAGGGTTTCCTTTTGGGGTGATGAAAACGTCCTGGAACTGGAGGGAGGGGCCAGTTGTAAAACACTGTGAATGTATTAAATGTCACTAAGTTGTTCATTTAAAATGGTGAGTTTTATATGAATTCCATCTCGATTAAAAAAGAGAGAAAAACACAGATCGACAGATGATCTCAGAAGAGCACGAAGAACCGAAGGATTTTGACACTTACGAATTTAGGCGGCGGCATGTTCAAATTCAGATTGCTCAAGGTAACTTCATGGCCGCTCTGTGCACAGGCCACTAGTCTCAGTGCAACATAGAAACCCTGCAAATCCAAAAAAGGGGGAGGGGTAAACACTAGCCGGCTGGCGATGACAGGGGGAGAGCTGTCTGCAGCCTCGGGCTTTGGGAGAGAGGAATTTCACTTCACTGCAACAATGAAGACTCAATGTGCAAAAGTCATATGCAATGACTTAATGTGCAAAAGGTCCCCCTGGGAGCACTGTGAATATGCCAAATGGACTCAGTCCATTGCACTCTGGACAATCCAAAATTTCAAATGAGTATATTTTTTAATACCTTTATTATTTTTTAAGGAAGCTTTATGCCCAACATGGGGCTTGAACTCTCGACCCTGAGATCAAGAGTCACATGTCTATCGACTAAGCCAGCCAGGTGCCCCTTAAATAAATGTATTTTAAGCAATAACGAGCTCCCAACATTTGGGAAAATGCTAGATTAGATAAGCAGCAGACTAGAGTTTAAGATTATAAATAAATGATGATTCAAATATGTGTTGACTTTTTAAAAATGGTTTGAAATAGTTGTTTGGGAACTGACTGTCACGACTCACTGTGATCCCTCGGCCTTGCTGAAGATAGCCTCTCCCACTCGCCACCCCCCGGCCCGATGTGAACCTTACCTCCCATGCAGGGACAAAGAACCTGAACTAGGCCATCAGGGGCCTTTGCTCTTCCCTGCCCTCCTCCTAACCCAGAGCCAGCCATGCCACAGGCTTAGTGGACTCACAGAGCATCACCTAATTTTTTTTAATTGATCAAATAGCCTGAGAACATGAACTGTTTTAAAGCTATAAACACAATCAGAGTTTTAAAAACGTCTTCAAAGAGACACGCGCTAGATCGGACTTTCTCAGACTGATGTCCACAGAATGCCTGAGTGGAGTGTACAGAAAAGGGGATGTAAGAAGTTTCTGGGAACTGCATTAGACAAAGTTAACAGGTTTCTCGTCCACAAGGTCCTCAGACTCTTTCAACATGCAGACGTACCGTGTGAATCTCAAGGAAGGGAGGAAGAGCTGATGGTGCTTTCCCAGCGGATCAGATCATGGACAGTAGGACACCAGGAATGGCATCCCTTGGGATATAGTTTGGGGAAAAACTGAACTAAATTAAAATATGACCATTTAAAAAAAGCATGTGTAAGTACTATAAATTTCCATTTACAGAACATTCTCAAAAATGACAAAATCATGCTGGAGATGGAACCAGAAGGAACCTAACCAAGGTTAGGGTGTGACTGCCACAGGGCAACACGAGAGAGATTCTTTTGGGGGCCAGGCAGTTCTGTGTCATAATGACTATGGCGGTCATTACATGAATTTGTGCAATAAAATTACAGAGAACTATACACACCAAACCCCCCCCCCCAAAAGTCCATGTAAAACCAGCCAGCTCTGAGCAAGGCTCCAGTTTAGCACCGAGCCAGCCTCTGAGCATCACGCTATGGTGACATGAGCAGCTCTCACTGTGGGGAGCTGAGGAAGGATACACCGGAACTCTCTGGACTGCTTTTGCAACTTCCAGGAGTCTTAAATTATTTCAAAATAGATCGATTTGAAAACATTTTCATCACCTGTAAGCACACAAGTAAATGAAACCTTGCAGTGTTACTAGCCTGATGGCCACACTCATGTCTAGTAATACTTGTCCGCGGCAGTAACAAGGAAGGAAGTGCAGACGTGACCCAGCCTACGGGGCTCTGGCCCAAGCCCCTCCACTTGCTCTGTGTGTATTTGTATATATATATATACCTGTTTGTCCAAGAACCCTTTACCTTCTGGGTCGGCCAAGTCCCATATCTGTGGAAACACAAAAATGCTCATGAGTGCACCTGCCAGTCACTACCCATTTATTCACATAACAGGAACAACTGCCACTGCGTGTGGGTCTTATGTGTCGGCTGGAGTGGCCATTCCTGAGCTGTGGGTGAGGAGGCAAATTTGCAACAGGTGAAGGACCTGCCCCCACCCCCATGGGCACACAGCTGGTCAGTGGCAGAGCCTAGAGAATACCCAGGTCTACTCAGCTCCAAAGCCAAAATAAACCTATAAGCTGTCAAGATCCCCAAAGCACTCAGGCCTCTTGTCTGCTGCCCAAGCAGTAAGTGGGATATCCACCAGTTACAGCCTGAGAGGCTCACAGTGGCCAGTCCACTCCCCAGAAGGCACATCCCCTGGAAGAGGGGTCTGGCCTTCGCCTGCCGGGGCAGCCTTGAGGTCGGCCTCAGAAGAGAGGTCACTATGCGTCTTCACATACCTTCCCAAGGATAATGTCTGAGAGCCCGGACTTCTTTAGAAAAAGCGCAGCTTCACTCGCCCCAACTCGCCCTGTGTATGCCGGGTCTACCTAGAATGGGGGAACAACTCTTGAGATAAGGCCTCAGATAAAGCAGCACACAGCCCACTGGCTATTGGCTGATAACTTGGAGGACAGAAAGGGACCCAACTGGGCTCCTACTCAGGTTTGTGCCTGCTGAGACACGCCCTCTCTAATTCAATCCAAAAAGACACCAGTGAAACTTACCTGCTTATAATAAGATTCATATAATGGATTTCCAGTGGGAATCTGTAAACAAAACCACAGACACTGGTCAAAAGTGGACACACCCCGCCCTAAAAAATGCCATCCCCTCAAAGAGCCATTACCAAAATGTACAACAGTGAGAATCAAAATGTGTGCACTTTCAACATCCTCTCTACACAGACTGCAGCTTGTTTTTAGACACAGATCTCACATACTTACTCAGTCTGGGAAGGAGAAACGCTAATGCTCTTTCAAAGTCCTAATTTCTACACAAACAACTTGGTATTCAGGAAGCAGCAGCAGCCGAGGTGACTTCCATTCCCCAAATGAGGGCATTTCAATGCATCCAGGAGCTCAGAGGGAAAAGACACCCTCTCCTCTGAGACTGTTCTCTGGTTCCAGCATCCAAACAGGAGTTTCTGCATGTCATCACGAATCACCAGACACGCAAGCTTCAGACTGGTTTCTCTGCCCCAGATCTCGTCCCCACCCATCTTGTCCGCCACCAGCCACCAAGGGATGCACACTGACTGGCCCACGCTGGGAGAGGGCTGGCCAGTGACCACTCCTACTGTGGCAGGCAGGAAGTTCAAAGTCCTCGGCTCGGCACAGAAGACACTCCACATTCCAGCCATCAGATCCCCAAGACATCACTGTTCAGAGAAGGTAAGCGCCCGCTCTCGGGTCATGTGGCTCACTGAAGCCATGTCTGGATCCGGCCTGGTTGGCGGCCGAGCCCTCACACTTTGCACTGTGTCCACAGCCTCTCTGCCTGACCTCAGCGAGCCGTCCCCCAGGGGAGGTGTCAGCTGGGGAAGGAATTAAGCAGCCACTACAATGTCAGCTCTCTAAAGGCTTACACACGTTGGTGTTTTGCCACATGAAGGGAAACAGCAGTCCACAAGCCTGCCATTGACTTAGGGAGCAAAGTGAAGAATACACGATTATGCTTAATCATATAGAAGAACAGGACCACTAAAGACAAGAAGGATGGGGAAAGCGAGGCCTGAATGAGAGGTGGGAGTACTGTGTTTTAGAAGTCTTTGAATGCTGTCTTGTGATTTTTCATAATGAATCAAACTGGCAGAGGTGGGTTCCTTCCAGTTACAATCACCGGATTTGAACCAGCCCAACACTTGCATACCGCTGTGGCATAAAGAGACTCCCTTCAGGTTAAAAATAATGCCGAGATTACGGTCAGCTTCTCTGGGGGATGCCAACACCTGCGAGCATATAAAGAAGCGAAAGTACAGAGAACACCGCCAAGACAGAATGAAAATAGAAGGAAAAGAGCACGAAGACCTGAAAGGGGAGAGAGGAAAGTCAAAACAAAAAGAAAGGGGGGGATCTTGAAAAAGCAGAGAAAACTAAACACAGAGCAACATGAAAAGGAAAGCAAGGCTGGGTGACAAGGAGCCATGGCTTGAGAAAGAAAAGGGGATTACACCTGGGAGAAGGATCGAGAGGTTAAGGACACAGCTATGGCGCCTGCTGGGCAGGCTGCTTCCTCCTGCCCGGTGCGCTGGCCTGACCCGGTCGCTGGGGGGGTCGGTCACTCTCAGCTCCTTCAGACCTTAGACAGCAGTGCCCGCCATCACACCTCGTGTGACCTCCCAGGTTTAAAACTCGGGCATGCTTCCAAAGCACATCTCCTCAGAACACTAAGGCGGACAGATGAAGCAAAGTCAGGCTGGCTGTTTGTCAAGGTAACAAGGTGACAGTGGCCAGGTCAACAGCACATCGCCTGCCACCGGCTCACAGGAATGGAATGCACAAGCCCAGAGGCCTCCACCCTGATGGCAAAGGTCCCCTTCCCACCAACAATCAGAGAGGCTCTGGTCTGAAATACATTTCCAGTGGGATTTTTTAAAAGATCTCAGGGTAGGCAAGAAAAGAGGTTTCCAAGCTACTAAAATTCCAGTGAAAAAGGGGTATTTGGGACATACAGAGTTAACAACTGTTTCAAACTTCCCAAATGCTTCTGAGCTATTAGATCCACAATCAAGAAAACCAAGACCCTGAATAATCTGGAAAAGCCTTTGAAGCACCAGACCCAAAGCTCCAATGGTCTGTGCTAAGGGCTCACCCCCCAGATGGGTCTATGGCCAGCCTTCTTTTTTTAAAAAAGATTTTATTTATTTATTTGACAGAGAGAGACACAGCGAGAGAGGGAACACAAGCAGGGGGAGTGGAAGAGGGAGAAGCAGGCTCCCCGCGGAGCAGGGAGCCCGATGCGGCGCTTGATCCCAAGACCCTGGGATCACGACCTGAGCTGAAGGCAGACGCTTAACAACTGAGCCACCCAGGCGCCCCTATGGCCAGCTTTCAATCCCACATATCCACAAGTGACGGAAAACCACAAGAGCATGCCTCAACTATTCCTCTCTCTGGGAATCAATTTAGTTAAGCTGGGACAATGACCGCAGTTAGAAGCTTCAATGCGATTACTCATACTTCAGCTACTGCAAAAGCAGACGGGGGGAAAGGGGAAAACACCAGATCTAGTTGGCACTTCCTCTCACCACTCCGCCTCATCCCAGGGATGGGGGAGTCACGTCTGCAAGCTGCCTGATATGCCACTGAGACAGAGCTGAAGACACTTGCTGCCAACTGACACCAGGAATCCCCCAGTGACAGGCGGTCTACGTGGTCAGCTCCTGGGCAGAGAACCTCTGTCACAACCCACTCACCGGTGCCGGCAGCGGCTCCCAGAGGGAGTGCTACAGCTGCTGGGACAGAGCGCGCTAAGAGGGGACACCAGAGCTCTTCACCTCTGTCTGACCCCAAAGAGAGCCCAGGGCCAAGCCTGGGACACAGCCAGAAAGGAAACGGGCCAGGGGATGAGGCGCTCAGTGTAAGAAAGCTGCAGAGAGTAAGAGGCTGCAGAGAACTGGGCGAGGTCTTTGAAAATGGAAGCAGGACACAGCCAGCCCAGGATGGCGATCTCCTTCACCAACCCACCCTGCTAAGGGGCCATCTTCAACTTGCAGTGACTGAATTATTGATGAGGTTCGATCATAACGTTCAATTTGACCATTCAGTTGCTCATCATATCTTAAAATACTCAGAGATAACATGAAAAGTTTCTGTGGTCTCTCTGCTCTGTCCTCCAGCCTAGATGCAATTTACAAGGGGGGGCGACAGGGAAGGGGAGCGAACCCAGAACAAGTCCACACCCTTCTGTTGCGAGGGCTTTAAAACATCACCGTTCGGGCGCCTGGGTGGCTCAGTTGGTTAAGCGACTGCCTTCGGCTCAGGTCATGATCCTGGAGTCCCGGGATCGAGTCCCACATCGGGGTCCCTGCTCAGCGGGGGGTCTGCTTCTCCCTCTGACCCTCTTCCCTCTCGTGCTCTCTGTCTCTCATTCTCTCTCAAATAAATAAATAAAATCTTTGAAAAAAATAATAAAAACAAAACAAAACAAAACATCACAGTTCATGTGAGCACACGCAATTTTAACGCTGGAGAAAAGCAGCTTGAGATGAAGAACACAGCAGAACCCCTTTGGAGGGGAAATCCTTTGAAGATTGGGGTTCTAGCAGCTCCAAAACCTCTTAGGATTGAGCCCATCCAGCTCTGACCCCCGCGTTTGTCCACAGGCAGGACCCTTCCTAAATCTTTATGCCTGGAACCAGGAGAATTCCCACTCTTCCGGGAAAGGGTGTGCTTTCATGCCAAACAAAGCAATGATTGCCAGCCTTGCTCATTTCAAAAATGGCATTTTTTAAAACAAACCAGTTTTTAAGACTTTTGGAAAAAAGTTTAATTCCTTGCTCTGATAAATAGAGGGTCACATTTATGGAGCACTCATGGTTTCCTATCTAGTACCTCATTTAATGCTCCAACAACACTTTGGCACAGGTATATTGTTAGCCCCAATTTACAGGTGCTCAGACTGAGGGTACCTTGCCCAGGGTCACAGAGCCAATGAGCCACAGAGCCAGAGGAGCGCCCAAGTCACGTGGCCCTAACCTACTTTGCACGCTGCAAAAATAGCCCAGGCATGACAGAGCCAGGCACTGGGTCACAGCACAGCCTCCCATGCATGGCAGCCTTGGGAAAATGCATGCACGTGATTACGTGATGGTGCGTTTTATTCAACACAAGAAGTGAGAGTGCAAGACTCAACTGTATAAACTGACTTGAAAACCAGTGCAACTTGTCATTTCCCCCAGAAAGCCAAGACCCCATAACAGCTGTATTTACCTTTTCTTTTCTACTGTCCTATATCCTTTTTTTTTTTAATTTCACTGTAGTCAGCACAGTGTTATATTAGTTTCAGGTGTACAATATCGTGATTCCACACTTCCATATATTACTCAGTGCTCATCAAGATAACTATTCTTTAATCCCCATTGCCTCTTTCCCCTGCCCCCACTCACCTCCCCTCTGGTAACCATCTGTTTGTTCTCTGTAGTCAAGAGTCTGTTTTTTTGGTTTGTCTCTTTTGTTTCCTCTTTTCATTTGTTTTATTTCTTAAATTCCATATATGAGTGAAATCATGTGGTATTTGTCTTTCTCTGACTGACTTACTTTACTTAGCATAATACCCTCTAGCTCCATCTGTGTCGTTGCAAACGGCAAGACTTCATTCTTCCTTATGGCTGAGTAATATTCCATTGTGTATATATACCTCCTCTTCTTTATCCACTCATCTATCAATGGACCTTGGGCTGTTTCCATAGTTTGACTTTTGTAAATAATGCTGCAATGAACATAGGAATGCATATATCCCTTCAAGTTCGCGTTTTTGTACTCTTTGGGTAAATACTCGGTAGTGCAATTACTAGATTGTAGGGTAGTTCTACTTTAAATTTTTTGAGGAACCTCAATAACTGTCTTCCAGAGGGGCTGCACAGGTTTGCATTCCCACCAACAGTGCATGAGGGTTCCTCTTTTTCCACATCCTCGCCAATACTTGTTGTTTCTTGTGGTTTTGACTTTAGCCATTCTGACAGGTGTAAGGTGATATCTGATTGTGATTTTGATTTGCATTTCCCTGATGATGAGTGATGTTGGAGAACAAATATTGTTAAAATATA